TACAGTCTAAAAACAACTAAAATTACTTGACAACATGATAGAAGAAAAATGTCCAAAATACAACACTTTCACACTAATAAAAACAGAGGAGAAACAGAGAGAATTTTTTTAAGGCACAGGATAAAAAGCGCCACATAGTAAAATTTGGGTATTAAAAACTCCAAAAGCTCCTCCATACATATACAAAATATCTCATGATTTAAACAAATAAACTGGACCATCTAGGTGATGATATTCTGTTCTCACTGCATTGAACAGACTACAGAGAGGCCTTCGGCTTGTTTGACAGGGTGGGTGACAACAAGGTGGCGTACAACCAGATCGCTGACATCATGCGCGCTCTGGGACAGAACCCCACCAACAAGGAAGTCAGCAAACTGCTGGGAAATCCCACACCTGAAGGTAAGAGAACCATTCACTAACTCAAGCTTTGGGTTTTCATTTAGTATTAGTATTATATGAAATCAACTCTTTTTTTAAGCTTTCCACAATGTTATAATGTTATTCCCTCATCAAAAACATACCTGGAGTGTTGCCTTCATTTTTTTCATGCATGTTTGAGAAATCCTTTAATGTTGGGTGGCAATCATTCATCTGTGCAAAATGTCTGGGTGGAGCTAGCTCCGCCTTCGAGACACATCTCCTCCTCGGAGCTGTATTTTCCTCACACTGCCCCCTGAGCTCTTACAGACTAGCCAGTAGCAATTAGCAAACACAGTGGAACTAATTATATGAACTACTTCTCAGTGAAAGGCCCGTAAAACCTTTGTTGAAGGGTTAATAGGGCAGTAATATTTTTGATGGCTACCTGAAGGCAGAGGAAAAGCAGGAGTTTTCTAAGAGACAGTGACCCAATTTCAAGACATTAAATTATGAAGTCAAATTTCTTTTAAGTCATATTATGAATAAATAACATATTTACAACGACTAAAGGTAAAAGTTACTTGAACGTGTTAAGAAATGGCATTATTTGTTGTTTTGAAAACAGACTTACAGTCAGCATCAACTGTTTATGGCATCAGTTCAATCACTGTGTTTTGATTGTATTTTGTATTTCTTCAGGACCTTAAATTGCAACAACAATGTTTTTCAGCAGTCAAATATTCAGTTCACCAGTTAAAATAAGTCAAATAGACATTGCAGTAATGCTTTGTACATGTCTGAAGAAGTGGTTTTGAAACCATGTTAAACATTAGAACATATATTTTTCAGTAATGATGAAAGCCATGCTGCTCAAAACAATAAGAAAAATGGGAGAGCATAAATCATGAAGCAGATTTGAACCTTTGCTGTGGTGTAGTCTAGGGTAGTGTCCATATATTAAAAATATATGCATCAGACCTTCATCATAAGCTTTGTTAACATAAAAATAACTTGGATGTGCTTTTGAAAAGTACCAGTGATGAAGTTTACTTAAAGCAAAAGCAACTTCTAGGATAATTAATAAAATACATAACCTTTCATGAATGTTAAACTTTTATTTTAACATCACAAACTCACACTGAAAATAAAATTAAAAAAAATAAAAATAATTCTGCCCTTATTTACCTTCGAGTTACCAGTACCAGAAATGTTCATACCTCTAAAATTCATGTCATATATATATGTAAATGAATCATTTTGGCAGTTTTGGCCTTGGCAAAACTGCTAATTTATGGCTGTAAGCGAATAGTTATGCAATAATGGAAAAAATCTACAATATACTCAAAAATAACTGAAATTGTGATAAAGAAAGCTGGGTTTCAAAGTCAAGCTTATTTGACAGCAGATGTTAATGGAAAACTATAAAGTTTATTTTTTATTGAATTACTGCAAAGAGCAGCGTCTTTGTGACAACAGATTTCCAAAAATACTTACTTTAACACTTTTGTACATCTTTTCATGGGTTGGTGAGTTGGTTGAGAAAGCACAGCAACTATATACTAATGTGTTTTGCAAAAAAATAAAAGCAGGTTTGAGTTTGTGTGCTGCTGCAGGAACAGTATATATCTAGCTGGATATTCAGCTGCTTGAGGTACACTACTGAAATATCTACTGTATTCTTTATTTCTTCTTCCACAGACATGGTCAACAAGAGAGTAGAGTTTGAAGGATTTTTGCCCATGCTTCAGACAATCATCAACAGCCCGAACAAGGCAGGATATGAGGACTATGTTGAGGGTCTGCGTGTCTTTGACAAGGAGGGAAACGGCACAGTCATGGGCGCTGAGCTCCGTATTGTCCTCTCAACACTTGGTAAGTTTGAACTGGGCTCTGGTGATTTATATGGCAGACTTTATGTGCTTTCAATACTGAATGTGTTCTGTGACCCCTGCAGGAGAGAAGATGACCGAGACTGAAATTGATGCCCTTATGGCCGGACAGGAGGATGAGAATGGCTGCGTCAACTATGAGGGTGAGCCAAAAATTACCCTAACAATATTTCTGCTACTACTACTACTTCTACAGAACTGAGCAACACAATGGAACTGTTTGAAAGGAGGTTGTTAATCCTTTAAATGTTACATTATTTCTTTCTTGGCATCTTCAGTCAGAGGTGCCAAGACCAAAGCAGCTTTCTGCTGACTAAAAACAAGACCAGCAACTCCTCTCTCAACAACATAACTGTGTTTTTTTTGTGAATGTTTGTTTTATGAACAATAGCTTTATACTGTTGTTTACACTGAAGTCAATCGTCACTTTTTAGATGAGATGTGTAGGACTCTCCTGTTTTAGCCTGGACTGGCCAAATAAGAGACTCATTTGGATTATTCTGCCACCAGATGGCAACAAATGGACAAATGAATCACATGATGTGATTTTCAGTTTTATCAGTTTAGGCCTCTCCCTGTCACTTATAAGATGAAAGGTTACTGTCTAGTCTATGCAAGCACACACTAAAACATCAACTTACTTAAAATGAAATAATAGTGCAGCTACACCACGTAGTTTGCAAAAATCGTATGGGTTAAAGATTTCAGCAATGACTCAGTTGAATATATTCTTGTAGCTTCTGTTAGGAGTTTTTGATTTGCCTTAAAAATGATATTGGCTTAAAGCATAAACAGAATAAAAGAAGATCATTTGAATTAGCTTAGAGGAGCAAAATGTCTCATGTGTACTATTACATTCATGTTTCTCATTATCAGCATGTTCCACTTACAGGCTGTGTTTTATATAGGGAAACACTGGTGACGCACCACCTCCCACTTCACCCCATATAGATAATGTTTGGCTTCTCTGTAAAAGAAATTACCCACAGCAACAGTGTTTGAAGTTTCATGGTTCATAAAAAATTGTTTGTATGAGTCATGATGACATCTTTGGATTGAAGGGGTTTTAAGGTGATGGAAGTCCGCTTTTTCCTGACGTAGCCATTACCTTCAGCCTCTGGAAGTAATTATACATGTATATTAAATGTAGATGCCAAAAGAGTTACTTACTGCAGGTAAAATATAATTTTTTTTATGACCCATTAGCAAAACCTCACTTCTAGAATCCTGAACTATTCCTTCCAATGTATTTTCAGTCTCCCTCTACTGCTCATAAAATAGAATGCACTCTTATGACATGGCTACCTTAATGTTTGAGACAGCAGGTCATTGAACGTTCTTGAAGTCTGATACAGTGTTTCTGTGTCTGTGGTGCTTGCTACACCATCATGTTGTTTTACTAGTTCATTGACTTGTCATTTTGTCAGTTTTTGTCTCCTCATTAATTTTTCTACTCTTTTCTTTATGTATATTGCCCTGGTCTCCATCTGCAGCCTTTGTCAAGCACATCATGTCTGTGTAAGGACCCTGCCACTGCGGTGGTGAACATCGACTAGTGCAGACGACCCCATGGTGTCATGACATCCACTCGCTGTTTCCTGAATCATCTTGTGGAAGCAGGGGGAACAAAGGACTAAGAGATGTCATTTCCTGAACCCTGTTTTGTTAAATCCTACTTTTTTCCTCTTTTGTCCAAATGGTGCTTTATTATTATTTTTCATTTCTCCCTTCCTCCTCCTGCTACTTGGAAAGCAATGATGATTGCAGACGAAGTGATTCTTCCTTCATCTTCATTCAGGTCCCGTGGTCTCATTGGAGTTTTTGTTATTACAGAGGAACAGTGATGGGGTGGGAGGTGGAATACAAATGACCATTTCCTCCCACTCATTGTTTGGCTGGCTGTCTATCTGCCATGTAGGTGACTGGTTTGGCCCAGGACTGGCCATCAAAATCAATCCACCCTTCACTCAATCCATCCCTGAGTCTTAAGCTATTGTATCCTCTGCCATTTCACAATAAACTTTTCACACTCCCATTTTATTCCAGAATGTTTGCCTCTATTTTTGTGCAATTTCTAATAATATTCTGCCAGTGAGCTACTCACCAAAGTTTGGTGCTGCATTTAAAAGTCTTGGAGAAATAGAAGCACATATTGAACTGAGTCGCATCTAATTTTAAGTGTGTGTATTAGCAAAGTTTACTTTTTTGGTAAACAAATTTTTTCAGCCTACGGATGCCCTTAAAAGTAAGTCTGACCAAAAATTTATTTTTATACAAATGATTTTTGTAGTGCCATAACTTTTTTCCGTATTCGAAGTTTGAAGCAACATTTGGTAGTCAAAGTAAACCTTAGTTCTAGAAGTAAAATTAAGAACAGAAGAACAACATAAATGTTTCAAAATGTATTGGAGAATACATACAAGCATTGATGTAAAACATGTAAAACATTAAGCTGAAGCTTAATGTTTTACATCAATGCTTATTAAGGGGTTAGAAAAGCTCAGCTGAAGTCCAGACTAAAAACCAAATGATAACCTCTGGGAAAACAAAATGTGCAAAACTATAAAGGATCTTGTTACGTTAGCAAAGCACTGTATAACACACAAAAAACTATCAAACAAGTCAGTTAAGCAATGCAGTGTATTGGGTTACTTATTGTAAATAAATAAACCTCTGCATAGTCATTGTTGTGTACTTCTAACCATGTCAACATATTTTTGATTATTTGAAAAGAAAACAAGAAGCGTGTCAGTTTTTGTTATTTTTATTGTCATTAATTATCATAATTGGTGTCATATCAACAGGAGAAAAACTGCATACATCTACTTGACCTTTTAAATACATTAAGAGTTGCTGCAGGGTGGAGCAAGAGGTGGGGGAGAGGCACACGGAGATGGGGGATGCAGAATAAACACAGAAGCAAACAAACAGTTGCAGTTGGGGGCAGTAATTGGGCAGGAAGCGGGTAATACCACAAACAGTGTCTGGAGAAAAAAAAAAACAAAAAAAAAATCTAGATCACCCAAACATTTTGTCCAGATATATCAGGAGCTGACTGAGTTCTTTCTCCCAGTGGACATTTGACAAGTATTTCTTTCGTTCTTTTTTTTTTTATTTAAGGCTTTTAAAAAGTTTTTTACCTTAAACAATTTCATCTCCCTACACATCACAACAAACAACCCAAATACAGTGGCGTCCCTCCAGAAAACGGCATGGGATCTGCACCAAATGCATACACACACACATACATGCTTTCTCGCACACGCATACATACATTTTGGAGAAGTGGCATCATCTGCCGTAGCATCTATTCGTCAGTGGCTCAGACTGCAATCATTATCACCTTTAAACATCAACCTTTATTGATTAGTTCTCAAAGAATTTTCTTCTGGAACAGATATTTGTGGAATGAGCTCCAAGTGTTTAAGCAGGCGTCTATACAGATCTGTTGAGCAGGTTTAAGTGAGTAAGGCTGTTTGACAAGACAGAGCTGCATCCCTCAGCAACACCAAATCAGTCTCGGACATTGTCACCAAGCATTACACTGTAAAACACCTATTAACTACAAAACATGAACTTGTTAATCTTTATCCAATAAATGAGGAAATTATTTACTAAAAGTCTTTTTTTTTCTTCAATACAAAAGAGCCTCTTTTCATATTTGATTCATACATGCGAGTACATGATGTGGTTCTTGCATATATGCCATTGTAAAGTAATATCTTATAGCCATATTTTTGCTTCCTTTTAAAATGTGAGACATGTGAATGGGAAAGAGGTTGTATCCTATAGAGATCTCTATATTATTACTTTTTAAACAGATCATGTATCGAGTCAATAATGACTCACAGTAAAGATGCTCTTTGTTAGGGGATCTGGCAATCATGCATGTTTGCTGAGCAAGAACAAAAAGGGTGGCATGGTGTACAGGCCATGTCTTTAGTTGTTTAAAGTAGAAAAAAAGGCTGTCGCTTATTCGATACGCTGATCCAAGACCAGTAAAGCCAGTGTTGACAGATATACCACTTAATCTAGAGCAAACGCTCAGTCTAACTATCCAAAACATTGTTCAAAACATAAGGAAATATCCACAAAACAAATCAGAAAAAACACATGTTTAAGGTTAAAAATAGAAGACCAAAACACAGTAGCTTCTAAGTCTAGTCTCTGCTTAGAGTTTAGAGATGGATGTTGCGATAAAGATGTTAAGGAGACCTCTGTGTGCTGAGCATCAATGGTAACCACTTTGTTTCATGATGGCGAGAGAGGGCAGACGAGTTCTTAAAGGTGAGAGTGTCTAGGATGCACAGCAGCAGTCTAGAAATCCAGTGTTCACAAGCCCTGCTTGGCTAAGGCATCACTTACATCCTTGGCCAGGGTTGCTAACTGTGGAGACTCCATTATGTTGAGGCTGCCAGAAGATGACAGCTGGCTTTCTTTCTGATGATGGGGAGAGACGGTGCCTGACAGACCAGGTGACTGGACGATGATCTCTGCTCCATGGTCAACACGGGCCTTTGCATGCTCACGAAATGTCAGCCTGTGGCTCTCAATCTGTGAAAGGCAGAAAACATGTTTAAAAAATACCATGAGAATAAGTTTAAGTAACTGCAGGCAGAGAGTCTGTCTGTCTTCTTGAATAATAAAAAACAAAAAATGAGATTTTGACGTGTGATTAGTCAAAACAAAAAAAAGTTTTTGTAGATATTTGACGTCTCAAACAAATTCTCTCCCCTTCATTGATGCGTAGAAGCATTTAGCATTTAAACACTCACCATAATGCGACCTCCACCAGGAATATGATGTGCATTCTCCAGTGAACCCACCTTGGCTTGAGCTTTGTCTTTGAAATCCAACTTCACACTCTCTATTCGCACATTACCGCCACCTGAGCATAAGAAGAAGAATTACAAAAAAAAAAAAACATGATGCCTTACTGAAGTACAAGGGGTTAGCCCTTGTACTATTTTGTATATACTTCTGTGCATTTTATCAGGTTATATCAGACTATCTGAAAAAATGATCACCTTCTTTTCAAAATGTTTTTCAAATAAATACCTGAAAGTGTGTCTTGCATTTGTTTTAAGCTGCTTTTACTTTAGTAACCTTAAATAAAATCTCTGACACCTACTGCCTTTGTGATCTGATTTGGAAAAAGGAAACCAAAAGCAAAAGGGGATCTTGCATAGACTTTGCCACAAGACACTTTGATATAGAAAAGACATTTAAGAAGGGGCTCTGTTTAGATTGTGGGTGTCAAACGCCAGTCCTGGAGAGCCACTGCCCTGTAATTTTTAGATGTACCTCTGCACATTTTAGCATTGGCTCCACACCTGAATAGAATAATTAGGTCATTAGCAAGGCTCTGGAGTGCTTGTCTACACTAGAAGGAGGTAATTAAGCCATTTCATTCCAGTGTTTTTAACCTGTGGCACATTGCAAAACTGCAGGACAGTGGTCCATAGGACTGGAGTTTGACACCCCTAGTTTAGATGGAACCAGCTTTTAGGGCATCATGCAAAATACTATATGTAGCTGGAAAACTACTGCTGCCACATGGTGACTTATGGTGATGACAGCTTATACCGTGGAGATAAATGTGTACAAAGGGACTGACTGTTGATGTTTTATCTAATGCTGTCCCCTTTTGTTTTTGTAGCTATGTTGTCTGATGATTCATTTCCCTTTAGGATATTGCTAAAGCTGAAGTGAACTGAACCTGAAGGCTTTTTTTGAGTAGGGACATAAACACTGATCAGAGTAGATGGTAAGATGGACGAACCTATCTTGGTAAGGTAAATTTATTTATATAGCATATTTTCAGCAACAAGGCAGTTCAAAGTGCTTTCAGTGAATTAGAAGGAAATACAAACAAAATAAAACAACACACTATAAGACAGACAAAAATGTAAACATATTGATTCTCCGTCTTTAATATGAATAAATAGCCCATAATTTATAAAGTAGTAGGGGTTTCTCTCATTCGTGTTCTGATAAAACTAATTGTTTGTTCTCTGACTGCCTTTAAGTTAGATACTTTCTAAGTTTGTTTGAGATCTGTAAACTCAGAGGCGGTTCTCTAGGTCTTGCTCCAATATTAAATGTTTAATACTAAATATTTATCTAAGGTAATGAGTAGTACAAGTCAATCCCAGAAAAAGATCTGATTGAGGTTGAAAAAGTCTCTAGTCTGGGGTGGAGATTCACTTTACAGCAAAACGCTAAGCACCCAGTCAGACCTACAAGTCAAATTCCAGACCTAGATCCAACTGAGAGTCTAAACATTTTGCATCCAATTTTAACAGTTTCAGGTATTTTAGATTACTTTTAGATGCTGACACTGGGGTGGAACCTGCACATAAGTTCCCTAAAGTTCAATATAAAGTCGGCAAGATAGGTTTAAGGTTCCGGCACCTAATGCCAGGAACAAATTATAATTTATATGCTTCCACATCAAAGGGCTTTAAAAATATGGCAATATCTTTGGAGTGCACAATGTCTGTTACTGAGTGTTTTTTGTGAGAAAATTTTAATGTGTATTTGTTTTTATTGCTGTCTTGGCCAGGTCTCTCTTGTAAAAGAGGTCTTTGATCTCAGTGGGACTAGCCTGTTTAAATAAAGGTTAAATGGGAATAACAATAAACTGACCCACCAATGGGAATGAGCCTGACGGCTGACAATGGGGTGGAACCTGCACATAAAGCCCCAAATAATAAAGAGCAGCGAGGATAACTGTGACAAAAAGACGCCAGCAGAGGGAGCTAGAACGGCAACAAACAACTTCTGCAATATGATTTGGAGTTTTAATGTGAAATCTTTAACACAGAGAACCAAAATAACAGTCACATATGGCCAAAGATGGATGCAAGATAATTATATATCTGTGTGAAACCTAACCATTCATGACCATCCAGATACTTGGAACATATCATATGTCCAAGCTAAAAAAAACAAAAATAAAAAAAAGCAGCGTAACCCTTAAAGTATTTATCGTTTCTTATAAAGGCCAGAACTGAATGCTTCTGGATTGAGCCAGTCGAGGTGTGATCCAATGCAACTCTCGACAACTTGTTTCACACTCATTTTCTAGGAAGAATTAAAGCAACTACAGTAATGTTTGCCAGGGACCTGAAAAACACCTCGTCCAGTCCACTGCCTGTGGACAGATCCATCAAACTGTCAATCCAAATGCAGTTCATGCCTCAGTTCAGCTGCTGTTCCTCCTGCATACTAGGACACTGAAGAGTTCAGCAACCCAGAGTGATTGACGGGTTATTTCGGAGATTTATATAAGCGACAAAACAACCATTATTTATGCTGAAATGGATTTGTTATTTAGTGACTGACAAGCAAATCAATCAGAGCCATATTTTCAATTTTCTATATATAAATATAACCGACTGCATAAAATTACTGCAATTGCACATCTTACCCACAACTAACTGCTGGATATTTTTGCTTGTTTTATGTCAGGGATTTTCTATTCCAACTGAAATGACTCATTCCTTGCTCAATTTGACCAAATGGCTTTAAACTCGTATTCTTATGAAGAAAGTGCCAATAACAGATTCTATTTTTCCTCTAGTAGATTGTCCATATTTTTAGCTAAAATGTTCTGGCATGTCAAAGAGCTTGTGAAGCTTTCTAATAAGATGTCTACAGCCATTGTGAGAGAAAAAAACAAGCCCACAGCATGACAGACCTCCCACTGTGTACAATAGACCATATGATCATTTATCTTTGTTTTGCACTAATCCCATCTCATCAAAAGTCAACGTTTAAATAAAAAGTCTCCATCCCCTTTAGCATCTCCAAACTTTTACCTTTGCAACAGTTGGACAGAAAATGCCTTTTTCCTGGTATGCTTTCCAAAATGGTTGACATGTAGATGGTTGTTATGGAGACCTGAAGAGCCCAGATTGCTGCTGTTTGATGCACCTCTTTAAAAGCTGTCTGCCATTCTGCACACTGCATGTGGCAGTATGTTAAGTATCCAGCCTCACTGCCATTGGCTAACAGATATGGATGTATATGTCATGTTATTTTTAAAGGTGAATAATAACTGTAAAACATGTTTTAGTGGAAAATATCATGGATGTCAAAGATCTTTTTTTTTCTGGATGCATTTTGTTTTCCAACTGGAAAAAAAAATCATTTGCTGCAAAATTTTATAAATTTTACAGAAAAAGATAACACTTTTGCAACGAAAGATTAATTCAAAGGTTTCCACTCTGTGTTTTATACAGGGAAGCAACATTTACAAAGGGTTCCAACAGGTGTGAATGGAACCTTTCACACCTGTCATTCAGATCACCCCGATTTCATGAGCATCACCTCCTATGTATGGAGCTTTCTACCTGGTCGATGATGAATGTTGTCGAGAGAACCACATTTGGAGGTCACATGGCTCAGGTCAATCTTCTTGTTCTGTATTTGTACCTAGAAAAGACAAAGTCCAGAAATAAAGTCAACATTTTGAGAATCTAAATAAAAAAATAAATAAATAAAAAATAAAAGAAAAATGTATCTAAGTTACAGCAGATAGTGTGCTGTAAGATATTCAATTCCACCATGTATGTTTTTCAAAAAGAAAATAATTACACCTCAAAGTGGCCTCAAAGTTGGGGGTAATAGCAATGGTTCCAACAGACTCTGGGGATCAAAGTTAGACCGCCTTAAAATGAGGTGTTGAATTTTGTTGGTAATTCTCTAGCACATGTCTCCAAATGTAAGTAATTATCAATCCTTGAAGTTATGTCCAATAATATTTATATCCTTGACAAGTCTTACATTTTATGTTTTCTGTCTTATGAAAAAAAGGTCATAAGACCTTCATTTTTGAAAATAATAGACACGTTCTTGAATAAACAATAAAATGCTGAGTGAAAAAGCCTCTTGAAGAAGAATATAAAAAACTTTTTGATTCACATCAATAGAAAATTCCCCTAGAAAATCACCCTTATGTTCAGCTCTCTCCAAAGATTCAGTATCAAATTCAGATCAGGACTACGGTACTGCAGTGGAACTTCTAAACTATGAGACAGCAAACAGAAATGAGTAATAAAGCTCTAGGCACAGCAAAATGAGTAAGGAGAGAAACAACACATGCTGAAATGAATCACTGCAACATGTAAGGTCACCGACATAGTTCATGTTTTTCAATGATTATTCCGGAAAACAGAAACTTTGTTATGAACATGTGAATAGAAGTCAGACAATGAAGATAATGAGACACAGACTATGCAGTACAGCTGTTGGAGCTTCTGCACCTACAAGGATAATAATGTTGGTTTGAAAAGTTGTGCTTTGGTGAATCATAAAGAAGTTTCGCTGTATGAAAACAAATAACATGAACACAAAGTCAAAATAATGTATTGTGCTTTAGGTAAGTATTGAATTAGATCATCAAGTCTTTCAATCCTTTGACAAAACATTCAACCGTTCCTGTTGAGTCGTGATATGAAAGGCAACTTCAAATCTTTGTTTTAAAAAAAAAAAACATTCTGAGGATGATAAAAAGCAGTTCTACATTTCTGAAGTCTCACAAACTCTTCCATCACTTTCTTCAAACATTGGCAGATAATTTGCAAAAACCTTAAAACGTATATTTTTGGTATAAAAACATAAAGAAGCAGTTGAACCATGTTCCAGTTGTTGCAAATAAAATATACTACTTTTGTTGTGCCATCTTTGATCTTCCTATGGAATATAGAAAATTCCACATTACATTGTAGGAATTGCATCACATTTTTGGAACATTTCCCATTGTTACTTCATCATTGTACTTATTTTTGTTGTTTTATTTTGAATAAAATCAGCTCTGTTTTGATTTTCTATGTATTATTATTTCCAAATAAGTAATAACATAACTCTGAATCGTAGGCATAAAAAAAAGGCAAAAAAAAAAATGTAAAAAAAAAAATCTTCAACTGAGTCTGTTTCGAAAATACTTCAGACAACACTTAATTGAGCACAAAACGGTTCTATGAACAGCTATTAACTGCTTTGCCATAGGCGCCAGTAAATTTTTGTTTAAGCACAGCTGTTTGCCAAAGTACGTTGGTAATGCTGAATACCTGAATTCATTCAACAAAAATAGGTTTAATGTAAACAGACCTCTTCCAGGGCTATAAAATCAGTGAAACTTTTCATTGTTTCAGTGTTACAAGGCTTGTGTTATGGTGTATTGATGATATGCATCAGCCAAATCAGAAACCACAGATGGAGCAGACATTGTACCTACTCCTTCAGATGAATGCAATTAGACTTAATCAACTGTTTCATAAAATATGCTACATATTGCAGATAAAGGTCAGTGAAGGTCTTAGATGATTGGAATATAATTCAGTCAAAAACCTTTACATTTGTTGAGACAGATTTTTAACTGTATGTCAACACAGGAAATCAAAAAAAAACTATTCTGTTTTGTGGTGTTGAATACTTTTGGAATGTCTTTCAAATGCTTAAATCTTTCATGTCTAATGGTGGTTGCATAAAATGACAATCACTTTTAATGATAAAAATGTATCAAAATGTTTGAAATAAATACATATTTTAATCCACTGGCATAAGCCTAACAATGAAGGAATCTTTATTTTAAGTGAATTTACTCAGTGGAGAAAAATAAAATTAGATGTTTGTTTGCAACAAATCTCAAGTAGAATAATTATCTTTTTTTTCATAACATTAATTTGCTAATTAGAATTGACAACATTTTTTTTACTTTTTTTTGACAATTTCTTCTTATTTTTGTTCCCTTTGTTCCAACATTTCACAAGGTTGAAGCATACCGAGAGAAAAAATTTTGTCCTCCCTGCTCTACATAGGCTTTTTAGATAATCCTAGAGTCCTGGATCCAAAGTTAGCAACATTTACACACAGTTTTATTTTCAAAAGCCATTTTCACCTGATGCTAAAAAACATATTACTGAAATGCCAGTACTGTTCAGAAAAGTACAAGAATTTCAATGTTTAAACCTTTAAAATTTAAATTTGCACAAAGCAAATCAAAATTACAGAAAAACAATTTTCCATAAAAAAGCATGTTGGCAAATATCTCCGTAGCTTGGTGAATGGACGACATACAGAACGACAAGTTGAAAAGGGAAGCAGTACGACTGCAAAAGCACAACACAACACACCACAAAATGCACTGATAATGTAACACTGAGAATGGTTTGCAGGACAAGACTCACGTTTCCACCTCCTGCTGAGTGACCCCGCCTGTCCAAGGACCCACACCTAGACTGAACATGGCTATAGTCCAGTTTAACACTGGGGATGAGGACCTGCAGGGGGCGGAGGCGAGCAATGAAGTGGCAAAATACTTCGACCCTTTAATAATTCTTGTAAACAGTTTCTATCAACTAGTCATTTCATACTCCAGAGATTTTTGAACAATAGTCCTGGCTTTCACAGTTCCTCTGCAGCCTTGGACTAGCATACTTTAGAAAACACAGCTACAGTAGGGTAGAACAAAAGACACTATTCTAACCTTGCAATGAGCTGATCAATAAATAAAGTGAACAATTAAACAACACCAGACTCAGACAAATAGGCTGCATGACTGAAACCCTGACGTGATACTGCCCCTTCCATACACTGAACGCTTTATATACCAATGGGAGTATGAGGCATAAACTATAATCCAATAGTTATGATTTTAAGATGCAGTTCTCACAACTTGATAAGGGCAGAAAAGGACAATCTTCAGAGAGGCCTTGAAGGAAAAGTGGAGGCAACTTTCAGCCATCTTAAATTGGGACCTCAGTTTAAGGTGCATGCAAAGGTGAAAAATATGTGAGTGTACTGTGACAATTAATGACTCGCAGCAGCTGCAAAGAGAGAAAGCAGGAGTGAGATGCAAACACAGTCAACTCAATAGCGCAAATTAATAATAAAAATAGCAACATGTCATGCAGCAGTTGGAAGGGAAATAAAAAAGCCATTCTATTGTACAAACATATTTTTAGGTGGTTTTGGCAGGAAATGACTTGTTGTTAATAAAACAACAACAGGCATTTGGCCTTAAGCTTTTGTGGGTTTCTAAAAGATGGCTAAATTCCAGGATGACTAATCAAAAGACTCATTTTATTCAATAACCATTCATTGTGCCCTAAATAAAATTAAAACTTGTATAGTTCTTTAAAACAAAGGTAAATTAATAAAAGACAAAAAAAGTGAAAGCAGATTATATGTTTGTGTTCAAGTGATGGTTTATGGGCTGTTAAAGTCTGTCCTGACAAATAGTTTGAAATTGATTTGCATCTTCAGCTTACAAATCAAATATTATATGTATACAAAGTTATTAAAAGGAAATGTACACTTAGCACTAAACACAGAAAATTTATTTATGTAGACTTTTCCAATTTGTAACTATACATTTTATAGCATTGAGAAGCCTGTTTATTTTCCCTTAAAATGAGCCCACAATATTTGCATGAGGAGAAGCTGAAAGTTTTTCAAGGTTCAAATAATAATACTCAATCCACCAATGCTTTTTCCCTACAAGTGTGGGATAATTTAAGCGGTGTTCCTAAATGGTAGGATAAATTAGATGTCATAATTATTATCAGCAAGCTCACACAGTGTGTCACCAACAAACGGTAATGGTAAAGAAGTGCAGCACAGACTACCAGATCAAAAAAACCTCTGCTGCTGATGGTGTGAGTATTGGTTCTTCTGCTTCTACAACAGCCGTAAATTTACAAAATCCCCTTTGGCCACCAAAAGAATTTGTAGGCAATCAAAAAAAAAAAAGTACATGAATCTTACCCTCACTAAGCTATCTTTCAAGGTTAGATTTCCTACCTCGAGGAGCAGATTAAATGTTACCTTTGCTGAATGACAGTGTGCAGGTCTAAATAGGTTGGAAAATTTGAAATTCCCCCCCGAGTTCTGATAAAAATAAATAAAATAAAACCACACAAATGAGCTACGAATAGATGACATCCTTCAGTAGTAAGACAGGGAACACACAAAATGTATGGCCTTGTTTTGGAAACAGCAAAAATATTTTTAATGAAATCAAGACAAACTTTGCTTTAAATCACAATATTTCTTTTTCTTTGCAAATGAGCCCAATAGTAATGTGCTGTTCTCACCAAGTTTGGATACAACTCTTACAGAGAAAATTTTGGAATCTGTATCATAAGAAACACAAGATGAGAAGTGTGATCTCTGCATTGGACTAAAAATGCATTCATTTCCACATCCACAGGATTACTTCTGAAACTCCTCTGGTTTGGAACGGATGAAGTAAATAAATGTTAGCAGTAGGAAAAAGAACCATGTCACTAATCATAACCAATCATGCCATCTTGGACAGAGAAACATTCATGCGACGAAAAACAAAACATCCTTTTTTTTCAGCGAATGACAGGCCATCATTTGGAACATGATTCCTCCTAATTTTGTGGTTGACTGCACTAAGCAGCTCAGAGATCTGTAAAAGTCATAAACACATCAGGCAAAATCTTAGACTCCTAATCGGGTCATCAGTGCAGCCTTGTATAAGCTGATAGCTACAGACACACACTCCTGTTTTCATCACTTTGCTTGATGCTGCAGCACTGTTGTTTTCGTTGCAGGGTGAAACCTTGACAAAACAAAAAATATCTTGACAATATTAGTAAGGGAAGTGTATATACTCAAATGCACAGTCTCCCTTGGAAAACATAACTTGAAATGTGTATATATGTAGGTGCTGTCTTTACAAACAAAGCCAGGTGGAAACTCTCAGTGAAGAATCCCCAGATGTCAGACTTGTGTGTGCTAAAATCTGGAGCATCTGACATGCTAATTTAGAAAAAGGCCAAAAATAATGAAAGAAACATTAACACAATGATGAAATTAAGTCGCATCATTGTGAGATGTTTTTAGTTCATCTCAGTAACAGCTCAGCAATTTCTTTCAGTGAAGTGGAACACACCTAATAAACTGTCAAATTCAACTAGTTTTTCTTAAAACCTAATCCATCACAAAGACAACAAAACAACACCAAGTGTGAACACAATTTAGAAAAGAGGCTTTAGGATATATACAGGATAAGAAAGACGAGAATTTGTTTGAAAAACACAATTTGCAAGGCACTACCGTCACTTCTGCATATTGCCATTTCCCCAGAGCACTTTTGTGATGTGGAAAGCTGTGGATAAAAATCTCTAGAATGATTTACTTGCTTATGAGACCTACTTTTATGTACATAAAAAAAAATTCTAATTTAGTTCTGCTACAAAAACTTTCAGATGATGTGGATGAAATTTATATGAAAGCATAGTTTTGTCTTAATGAGTCTGTATTAAAATAATAAATGAATGATGACATAAAAAAAGATACAAGGAAAACAAATCTAACAGTCAGAAAAAAAAGAAATATGCAAGAATGGAGGAAACACACAAAGGGCTTCAGGTTTTGAGGGTGAAATTGTAAGACATGACATGTTACCTGTCCTCCTTTTGGCTGGTATTTGATATTCTCTGTTGACCCAATCTTGGACTTGACATTCTTGAAGTCAGGCAGTGGCTGGTTGATGATGCGCAGCTGCTTGGGAGTGGTTGCGGGTGACTTTGGTGGGGTGCGGACTACTGCCACTTTCCTCTCCTGGGAAATCAAACTGAGGGAGAGCGGGGTGCCGGGGGTTCTTGAAGATGACGAGTAGCTGGGAGGGGTTCCTGGGGTGATGGCTGTGGAGCCTGGGGTCCGAGGGGTGGAGTGCCCGCTGCGAGCTGAACGGGAACGTACCGATTCTGTAACTAAACAATACATGGTTGAAATAAATGACGACGAGAACTTCAGGGATGAGTTGTGATCCTGAATTTTGCAGTTGTAATATGCAAGCATGAATCCAACTCATTTCAAGTCATTTGGATTATTACTTCAAAAAAGAAACATTTCACATTACATTTGAAATTCGTCTTACCTGTCATGCTTGGGGCTCGTCCTATCCTATGCTCTGCTCTCATTTCAGTACGAAATGCTGTAAAAAGGGAAATTAAATAAAAATTAAAACATGCATCTAAACATGACTAAATTAAGTGTATGTCATTTTTTTAAAATGATTCTTTGTTTTATATAGTGTGTGTTGATTGTGATATACGGTGCATTCATTTGTCTATTAAGGTCAGTGTTTGTCACATTTAATTGTTACTACATGTGAAACAAAAATGAGAAAAATAAATCTAAACAGGCTAAAATAATACAACAAGAAAAAGAGCCTAATCTGTACATAACAAATATAACCAACATCAACAAATTCTTTATTCCTCTTGTGAAAAGAACATTGTTACATTTTTCAAATAAATACTGACAAAATGTGATATCTTTTTAGGAAATGCTTTAAAATGCAGTAAAGTAAAACCCAATTGAGCAAAATTGATATGAGAACAAAGGTTTCTGCCTCTGACAGCCTACATGTGGGTCTGCGGGGAGCAGTCGATCCAGAGCTGGTGATGGAGGTAGAACTCTCCTCGTGTTCGTGGTAGCCACGGCGGCCCAGAATAGAGGCATGGCGTGGTGCAGATGATCTTTTTACTGGACTCCGTGACCCACCATCCTGATGGGAAAAAAAAAAAAAAAAACTCATCAGTGCAGCGCAGTAACGTCAGTTTAAATAGTATCTTGTGATTGTTGGCCTACATAACATTTCTGTACATTCACAATTTGTGAAGCTACCCTGCCAAAAAACTGACCACCCATCTCAACTGTAAGACTGATTCTGATGAGCTCTGTGGTTTAATGAGGCTGGACATCGAGATGGGAATCATTGTAACAAATGGTGAGCATGACACTAAAATGAAACAACGATGTGACTCAGTATGCGAATATAAACAACACAGTGAGAGTTATGAAAATGACAGCATACTTGATATCACGAGTCTTTATTAAAATCACTGATAAAAGTCATTTTATCGGTGATTATCACACCGATAATTGAGATAATTTACATTTGGTGATTTTCTATTAACATAGTGTGATGCATGGAAATATAAGCAGTGAGAAAACAATAATTATAAGCCTTAAACTTTAACATTTGCAGCTTAAAATATTAAGATTAATCAATACAAAGTAGTGAATATTTATGAAATGGAAAGAGTAAATAATTTCAGACAGTCAATTTCTGCAATTACAAGTGATATTTTTTGGTTACTATTCTGAAAATATAAATTTTCTTCTTTGCAAAATACTTTGAACTTAGAAAGATTAAATGAGTAGCATCTTTGAACATCAATTTTAAATTCTTGTCACAGATTCCAGTTTGTATTTAGGTATGGATTTCGATTAAGCTACTCTCTGTAAGCTCTGTAAGTTGTGTCGTATGATTGGGAAGACGTTTGTAGGTCCATCTTATGTGTAAAATGCGCTCAAACAGCAATGTACGGTAAAAATGTTTCTTCAAATAATCTTCTTCCACAATGTGGTTTTTGTATACACAGGTGATGAATGCTTCTGAGGAGCATTCAGCTCATGCATTACATTTGTACAATTCTTTAAAAAATATATGCAAAGGTATCGATCAACAAACATAAAAAAGGAGGAGCATAGAACATCATTTTCAACTTTGGCATCAGTAACCAGCCACACATTAATAGATGTATTAGAACACATTTACAGTATGCTGAAAATGACATGACATTTAAGGAATGCAGAAATGGTGTTATTATAGACACAATAACTGTCATTAGCATGGTGGAGGAGGAAAATGGAGTCACGACCACGGCAGCTGATGGGGAAATGTCATAGGGTGACTCTACACCCACTCAGTACAATAAACATTCCAAATGGGTCTGTCTTCACTATCTGTGCAAAAAGCTTGGTCCTGTAAAGAAAGCCAGCATTGTCACTGTTTCTTTTTTTTTTTTCAATTACAAAAGAAAAATATGATTTGCTGGTGCTATTCTTCTGTCAGTTGATGTATTTCAGCTAATATGTGTCAACGTTTGAGGTATGTTGATAGCTATATCAATTTATATTATCTTTTTAAGCTGCAGTACAAGCCATTTATATCTTGAAAATATTTTATTTTCCAATTTAAGAACAGATTTTTGGAGTGTTTCTAACTTTTTTGAAGATAAGAAGGTTTTCAACCATGTATTTTACATTGTCATAGCTGCCTAAAAATAATACCATCATGAGGAGACAACGCTTGCCATACAATTACCTTATTATCGTTGCATCAAAACTAATTTTTTAGCCTGTGAACTTGATTGCTAGCAAAGGCAAGAAAGTAATTGTGATTGTATGACGTATTTTTAGGACCCTGATCTCTAGCATCTCCGTCTATTAAGATATCAACTAGTTTTGATGGAAAATGTTACGTCAGAGTTGGCTTTACTTTTTATACTTACTGATGCTCTGTCTCGAGACTGTCTGGCAACACTCAGAGGGTGGCGACTGTCTGAAAGGGCTTCTGAAACACAGAGATGAGGGAAAATTAAGCCGGACATATCTAATCTAAATACAATTAAGCTAAAATAGAAGTACTTAAAATTACCTACATGGTCAATTATATATTTTGTAACACACATTTATACTTGAATCGTATATCTTAGAAAAACAGGTGACTTGAATCTGACAGGAACACTTATTGCGTCCCTGGTATTGGAAGTTGCACAAGAGAGGAATACTGGTGGAAAAACTAATGATGGCCTTCAATTTCGCACCATGTGGATGTCCTGGAGTGTGTGTGTCACTAATCTGGGGAAGACATAGCACCAATGTGCACTACAGGAAGAAGGCAAGATCTTGCATGTGTTGTAAGCTATGAGTAAAGACATCTATGACTTCTTAGGCTATGAGTCAAATGTGCAATGGGAGTAGGATGCTGCTCCTTTGAGAGCATTGTTCTTCAAAGACTTGGCATTAAATCATACAGAGTGAAGGATTTCTATAATCTAATTGGGGCAATTCAGCAGTAAGCTGAGCTTTTATCATTGGTGACACAGAATTCAGTTCATCAGGGAAAAATGAGGTGCAAACTGCCTCTGGGACAGAACAGCATTGGAGACCGCTTATGGAACAAAACTTAGATTAGTAGTTTAGAAGCAATCATACATTTGAAAGTGGAAAAAAAGCATTTATAATACAGTTTAAAAACTGTAACAGCCGGCCAATTATACTGAAAATGTATGCCTATAAAGAGCAGATAACTAATAGTTCAAACCAAGTGCAAGAATTAAGTGGGAAACTAAAGTGCCTGACAGATCAAGCCCATGTTTCACCTGTGGGTCTTCTTCTTGGGCAGGAGTGATGCTGGATCGGTCTTGTGTGACGAACTGCTGGCTTCATGGCGCTCCGCTTGGACGGAGACAGAGTCTGAGTCTCCACTTTTTTGTTGAATTCAGACTTCTTTATGATGGCTACAAAATTCAAAAAAACAAAGCAAGAGAAAACCTTTCAGGGGAGACGTCATTACAGTTAGGGGACATGAAAACACTCATCGTTTCACAATGCAATTTATTGGGGTTTAGGTACAGGTAAAAACTTTAGTTTTTTATTTTTTATTTTTTTTATTTTTTATTTTTATTTTTTTACTGTTTACATGAAATAACCAGTCGAAAAAGAATCTGTAGTGATATTCATTTTGGAGACTATTTATTTAAACAGTATTATCAATTCTTCGGTACGATGAGAAAATAATTTGCACGATTACTGAAAAAATAATGTTTGATAAAAAATACCTTTTTTCTTTTTGATCTCTTCTCTGGGTATGTAGATAGGCTCTTTGCGGACAAGTTTGCGTTCAGGCGTAGAGATGCGTCCTTTAGTTCGCCCTCCTTTAGTTTTGGGTTTGACAGATTTTTCTTGTTTTTCTGTACTTCGTTGTTTTGTCAGACTACTCTGTACGACAGCGGGTTTCTTAACTGGACTGGGCACCTTGGGTAAAAGCTCAATCGGCTCCGTTGCCATACTCCTATCATCATCTAGTAGACAAGACACGGAATAAAATAAAATAAAACACATTATCTTGCTAGAAACAGCAGCAGGAAATGGGATTGGGGTAAATACTATAATAAATGTTTTAAATGATATTACCTTGTGTGTCTACCCAGGAGCTGTCAAGGATGGAGTCATCAACTGTAGTTTCATCTCTATCGTAGCTTTCTGACCGTCCCTCGGTTTCTCTGGTCTGAGCTTCCTGTGCTGGAGAGGCAGGGGTTTCAGGAACTTCCCCTACCTCCTCAAGGCTGGCTGCCTCCAAATCTGCTTCCTCAGCCAACTCTATAGATTCATCCTCTTCTGCCTCTTCTTTCCGTGCACCAACACAAAGGCTTTCAGCCTCAGGTGGAGCAGAGAAACGAACACTGTGACCAGGTTCTTCAGCTTCATCGATGGTTTGCACCACTGTGATGAAATCGTCTTCAACCATTACCACAGATTCGATTGCACCGTGGGTCTCTGGTATCTCTTTTGTCACCTCTGCTTCTGCATTCTCCTTTTTAAGCAGATTTCCTTCAGCAAGATTTATGGAGACATTTTCTGTCTGCTGCATTCCTTTGGCTTCTACTGGCTGTTCTGAAACTATTTTGTCCATTTGAGTCAGTTTCTCTTGTTCTTTCTCCTTGTTGAGTTCCATCTCCATCTTTTCCTTCTCCCCCTTCTCTCTTATTTCTCTCTCCATCTTTTCTTTCAGTTCCTGTTCTGTTTTCTCTTTTTCCATTCTTTCATTCCTTTCTCTTTCCTCTCGCTCCATTTGTTCTTTCATTTTTTCTTCTTTCTCCTTCCTCTCCCTCTCTTCTATTTCTTTCCTTTCCCTTTCTTCTTTCTCCTTCTTCTCCCTCTCTTCTATTTCTCTCCTCTCCTTTTCTTCTTTCTCCTTTTTCTCCCTCTCTTCTATTTCTCTCCTCTCCCTTTCTTCTTTCTCCTTCTTCTCCCTCTCTTCTCTTTCTTTCCTCTCTTTTGCCTCCCTCTCTTCTCTTTCTTTCTTCTCTTTCTCCTCAATTTCTTTCATCTCCCTCTCCTGTCTCTCTTTGTGTTCTTTCTCCAGTCTTTCTGTCATCTCTTTTTCATGCCTTTCTGCCTCTTCCTTCAGTATCCTTTCTGCCTCCTCTTTCTCCCTTCTCTCTTGCTCCTTTCTTTCTTTGAATTCTGTTTCCTCCTTCATTCTTCTTTCTTCCTCATCTTTCTTTATTCTCTCAGCTGCTTCCCTTTCTTGGTCTTCCTTCATTTTCTTCTCTTGTTCGTCCCTTTCATCTTTGTTTATTCCTGAAACAGGTGAAGCTGATCTTTTGGGTGAACCGTACAACTCTCTTTGTTTAAGTTTGGAGGGTGAGAGTACCGGGGAAAGCAGTTTGTCATCATCAATGTTGCTCTCTACGGATGAAGTAGGTGATGTTTTCACAGGCCTGGCAATGCGGTCTTTGGCCATGCCAGTCAGCTGGTAAACATCCTCAGCATCCACCTCTTCATAGGCCTCTTGGTGCACCAGCTTCACTTTCTCCCGGAGCTCTTGGAGTTCCCGCTCCTCCTCAAGACTTAGAGGCCTGTCCTCCATCTCTAGCTTGCGGATCTGCCTTTCATAGTCGGCGATCTCGGTTTCTGATACTGAACCTTCACCACTGGCTTGGCGTTCGGTCTCACTCATTGACCTGTCTCCTTCCTCTAGAGTCACAGTGACAGTTGGTGTCACAAATGGCTCACTAAGCTGACCAATAGGTGTCTCACTTACAGATTTTGCTAGATGATCATGTGAATCATATTTGCTGCTTTCTTCAAGTGAATCATTTCTTTCCCTTTGGCTTTGGTCATCCCTCTTGTAAACGTTGGCATCTCCAGATGACAAAGTCTTGTCTTCCAAGGATGTATCTCTTACTGCTAATTTTCTTGCCTGTTCAGCCACTTTCTCCTCCAAGACAGAAGGGGTAAAAACTTGTCCACAGGTGTTCGTAGGGCTAAGGACATCTGCAGGGGATGGCATAGGCCCTGAATATTCACTGAACACACAATACCCCATCTCTTCCAGTTGACTGTCACTTTTTCTTACTCTAGGACTCAGCTCCCCTGAAGTCATACTAGCAAGAGGATCATCAGTGAAGATAGGAACATCATCGTTAAGTGACTTCTTCTGGATTATTTCAGGCTCTGCATTTTCTGAAGCCAGCCTGGATCGGGTACCAGCAAGGTCTAGCATCTCTGGCAAGTCCTGTGTCATCACTGATCCATTTTTGTAAGGGCCTTTATTTGGCTCAGGTGATTCAGGAGACTCAGGTTCTGGACTGACCTTCAATGGTGGTTCAGCAGTTCTTGGAGGGGAAGAGGAATCTGATGTGACAGAAGCAGCAGTCTCCAGGATGAGAGGAGGAAATGATGGAGGCTTATCTACACAGGGTGTAGAAACTGGAAGGTAGTCAGCTGACTCGTCAAGACTTCCACTTGTATATGACATGATGTCTGTGGCCAATGGGGTGAAGTTTCTTTGCCTTCCTTGTCCACTCTGATCTGATGTTCCAATGGTGATGTTGAGTGAGTAACTCCTCTGCTCTAAGGCAAGCTTACCGGGTGAAAGCCTACATTCATTACTTTTATCAGGAATTGCAAACATGTCGGTATCTCCAGGTGGAGCCTTTTTTATTCCAGGTTTATCCTTAGCTTCTGCCAGTGTGCTGTAGCTGACTTCTTGGGACTTGGAATCATCTTTATTTGTTTTTTCACCAGATCGACTCAGTTCATAATATCCCTCGCTCTTACATTCTGTACCTTCCTCAGCCTCCATAGTTGAGGTTTCAAAGTATGCTGACATACCGGATTTGTCTCTGGCCTCTCTATTTGTGTCTCCTGCCTGAACTTTAACTCCTATCGAAGAGAAGTCAGAAGGAGCAGTGATGCTGCTGAACTCCACCACCTCCACTGATGGCTGTTTTTCTGATACTGTGATTGGCTCCCCATATGTAGGCTGAAGTGTGAGAGTTGTGACTGGTTCTTTGGCTTGGATTTGAACATCTGGAGGTACAAAAGATGGCATATCCATGGTCGGGCTCTCCGGTACAACTCGTTCACCAGCAAAGAAACCTTGCATCGGAGGCTCAAAAAACTCTTCAGGGCGCTTTTCTGATCCAATGCTGTCAGGGCTCATCGACTCACTGTCCTGCTTGTCTGCATCCATCTTCAAAGCTGTAAAGATATCTGTAAGTTGACTGTTTCTATCACAAAAGAAAAGTATTGCTTTAGCATGCTATGAACAAGGATTGTTTATAAGCCGGTCAGTGGGAAAGCTTGCACACAACCAGGCAAAGCTCTCCTTTGGAAACTTACAGCACAAATACAGCCATCACTGAAGAGGTACGGCAAGATTAAGGGCCCACCATGTCACAGATGGATGAAAGACATGAGATGGAGTGTGACGGAGTCGGCGTGAGGCAACTGTAATGCTGATTTATGGGAAAACAGTTATAAGAGAAGGGAGGAGTATCCATGCATCAAAAACAACTATAAGGGATGCAGCATTTCTGTCATTCATTGAAAATCATTGCTACACTTTGAGTTAAAAGTCATAAATCATAAATCTATTAGAACATCTCATGGAACTTTGATAGCTTAATGTAATTTTCTCACCTAAGAAACAAGCATCCCAAGAATGACAGAGAAATGCTATATGTCACAAATGATGAGGAAAAAAAGCAAATTAATATAGTTTTGCTTTTTTGATGATGATATAATTGCAAATATGGTTCAACAAACACCTGTATCACACTGAGCAAGACACACCAAACACAGCTCCCTTACAAACTCTCTGTACTGAGACTGGTGATTAAAAATGCAATGCATGTTCTATCTGCGATTCATGGTAACATTAAATGTGCAGCACTGGCATACCAGCACCAAGCCATTATGTCTGAACATAATGAGAGTCTAGTAAGCTTATAAGCTGGGGAAATTAAAAAGAAAAAGCACGGTTATGTTTAGCGTCACTTCACATCATTATACCAACACGAAATGGCCGGCCCCAAAAACTACATCAAGTAAATAAAATAAAAAATAAAATAAAAAAAAAACATAAGCAAAGACACCACACAAGAAAAACAGGTTAAATTGAACAATGTGACTCTTTTCACCAACAAGCCTGTGTTGCCTTGCAGCCACAGCAGAGCGCAGAGAGGATTACTTGCCATTCCAGTAGAATAATAATGCTTATGTTATTTGCTTCCTTTCTGACACATCTTGTGTTGTAATAGAGTGGCAAATGCAGTAACATGCAGGCAGGGAGAGCAGAGGGCAAGACACACCTGTCTCATGGCTTTCCTCACCCTCTTCCTCCTCCACCATCTCTTCCTCCTCCTCCTCTTCCTCCTCTCTGTCCACAGAGCTTTCTGTGGCAGCACTAGCTGCCTCAGACTGCCCCAGGTCTACAACCTCGTCTAAGGGCTCTGTCTGATCTAAGGGTTCAGCTTTGGGGCTGTCCAGCTCGGGCTCTTCCCCACTCCACTGCTGCTCATCAAGAGCTGTTTCGGACATTGCTGCCTCTGCACTCTCCTCCTCTTCCACCTCTTCCTCCTCTTCCTCGTATTCAGCTGTAAGAGCCTCCATGGTCTCTTCTTCTCAAAAACAGGGTGAAAGGGGGTACACAATAAGACTACAGGCAACACAGACTTGGGTTATGTAAGAACATAACTTATGAGGGGATACTTTCAGCTCTGTAAAAAGGTGACCCAAACAGTTAGCTTTTTCACACAAAAACAGTGAGAAAATGGAGTATTAATTTAGAGGGATCTTGAGTGAGTGTTTAAAATAATTAACTATTTTATCACACACTTTGATAGTTGTATTTACATAAAAAAGCCATTCTCTGAAGGAAACTAGAAATGCCACAATCCAATTTATAAGTAAGATCAAATATTTTACATGTAATACACATAGTAAATTATATATTTCAATATGTCCATTTATGTGAGATATTGTGAAATGATCAAGCTACCAACTCCTTCGAAAATCTAACAGTTTTGCTGTTTATGGTTTGCAGTCTATCATGAAATAAGTGAAAACTGTCACTGTTTCCCTTTAAATAAATTACCATATAATTGGTCAACCTGCACAGCAAATTAGAGTCAGGTTCGTTTTTTCCTCGTACAATAAACATTTTGGCATGAATGCTTAATTATTTAATAATTTATCTTCAAAGTGGATTGTGTCACTTTAATATTGTCACTGATTAATTTTGGTGGGCCTTGACAAGTTTTGTAGTTAAAAGGGATTCCCTATCCATGTGAGATGAACATATAAAGGGAGGTGATAACATCTATAAAAAGATATTTGTCCTGTGATGATTAACATTTTTGGGATTGCACCATTTATAAATAATAATACTTTTACTTTAGTCAGCTCCAGGATCTATGACTGAATCTTTGTGGTAGGAAGTCCACCTCCAGCACCTCCCCTAAAAATAAACTTTTTTCAAAACACCTTTGAAAACCTAGTTTTATTTACTGGATTTACAACTTGGAAAATTTTGTTCATATTTAAAATGAACAAAATGATACAGTCATTCACTTATTCCTTCATACACAGGCAGGTTTAGTGTGTATGTATATGAATGGGTAAATGACTAATTGTAATAAATTCTATATATTCACAACATTTAAAAGTGCCATTTAGACTACACTTAATTTAGATTTCATACTACCACTCATCTTTAAGTGTGGGGAAAAATTCAAATTCTGAGCCAGATGCAATAACAGTTTCAGATTTTGAACTACGTCTGAAGTGCATGTGAGCATGATGGAGCTGAAAGTCTTCCTAGTTGCCACACTGTAAGTGTTAAGTCTTTGTGATTTGGATATACACACAGTACACCACAGTGAAAAAAACTGGAGTAATCTCAAGGAATGGACTACAGAACCAAGACTGGAGGGGAGGGGTGTGTGCATAGAGGATATGCACAGTTTCTGAGGCAGTTATGGGAGCAGTGGAGCTACAGTCATGTCCTGAGAGTCGGCTTTGTGGGCAACAATGTTGCTGATGAAAATGCTCACTGAGTGGCTCACAAAAACACATTGTCGTACTTTATACACATCACTGATATGTACTAGAGTTAACGGCGGGGCAACCACAGCTAGCAACTGTTTCGGTTAAAATGAATGACAAGAAAAAGTATGACTGGTAAATAAAAATGTCAGATTTTGAGTGGATCCACATCACAAAGGACACGCAAACATCACACCAAGACAGACAAAGAGACGAACTGAAGGACGGAGAGACGGAAGGACAAAAAGAGGGTAGGAATGAAGGAAGAAGGTAGTATCACAAAAGGAAAACAACAAAGGAGCGAGGAGATGAGGGGAGAATGGCAAAGAGGAACCATGCGTGGTTCACCTTCAATCTGTCTAAAGGCCACGCCGTGCCCTGTGGGGCGAGCGCCCGAGTGCGTCCACTCTGGGCTGAACAATGGGTGCTCATAGTACTCCTCGTCGGAGTGGTAGGGGTCGTCCTCGGGCACGGAAACTGAGATGGAGGGGGCGAGGAACTTGCACCTCTCCCGAGAATTTTGGAAGCGGCGGAGAGGGCCTGCCTCCTCCTCATCCCCTACATCTACGAACAAGACAGACACAAGGAGAAGAACTGCAGGGAAATTTGGACACACAGACCGAAAGAGAGACAGTGAAAAGAAGGAAAAGATAAAAAGAAGAAAATGAAGAAAACACACAAAGAATGACCATCTTAAAAGGGATTTTAATAAATGATCTTCATAGTTGTATTTTAATGTCCAGATGGTTTTGCTAACTATAAATATTTATCTGCACCACTTGCAGCACAGGCAAGCACCACATTTTTCATAAAAGTCCTCCTATTTTTAATGTGGTTATTTAGTGGGGAAAAATCTCATGAGAAGACAAATAGCAGGTGCCACATATTGGCAGCCAAGTGGCATGGTGTGTTTCCAATTCACAATAATAATGTTATTTAATGATTATTTGGCAGTGATGCCATAAAACTCTTTTCCATCTTACTATTCCAACTACAGATGTGGGACTTTAGCTTGAATGGTGTGTTGTCGTAAGTTGAAACACAGACTGAGTTTACAGCAACACATCAACTGAGTCTGGGGGTAAATGAAAAATTCATATTTAAAATATCTTGTGAAGTCTACATATAGGTATATATAATGCTCGTGGCCTCCATCTCTTCAAACTCCAGGCAATTTTGTTCATATATAAAGCAACATGAAGTCTTTATAAGCCAGGTGGACTCTACCTGGAAACCAAAAATGTGTTGTCAATGGGTCTCATAATGTGATTTTGATCCAAAGCATATTGTCAAAAGTTGTAGAAGAAGAGCAAGGATTGTGCTATTAGCAAAAGAATGCCAAACAAAGTCCTTTCAAATGCTAAGCAGGTGATGGGTCAAAAGTTGTTCAAATGGAAAAAAGGTTATTCACCTTACATGACTTTTGTAGCTAAACCTAATTATTAAATTAGTCTTTAATTTATTTATATATGTAAAAGGAGATAAAGAAATCCATAAAGCTGAGTAATAGGTCATGCTAAAGTGTTTAACTTGGGCAAACTGTGGACATTTAATTTTTTTAATAGAGGGTTTAGCCTGTTTTTGTCTTAAGATGGACATTTTTTTGCAGACAAAAAAAGCTTCAGAATAAAACAAAAAAGAAAGATATTTAGAAGAAGAAAACAAAATTCAAAAGTTTTAGTAGAAGAAAATAATGTAAGAAAAAGCTTGGCAGAGAAGAACAGACACATAACACACACAGCAACAAGTGGACAAGCAACTCAAATGAATCAAAGCTTTGGGGGCCAGCCTTTATCTACCTAAGAATATCAAACAAGGCAACATTTGATGGAGACATCTGCTCCTTTCTAATATTATAGAACATAAATAGAAAGTTAACACTAACAGGAACAAAGAGGTTTTTTTTTTTTTTTTATTCAGTGAAGGACATATAACCAGAAAAACACTTCTAGTCTAAACTGCAAAATGAACACGTTTTTTCAAATATCTAAACCTTGGTATTTTTCAGACCAGTCAAAAATAGAGTCACCAACTGGTGACTTTAGATAAATTCGGGTGGCAGTATTTTAATTTAAAAATGAAACATTATAATCTGTTTAGATAATCATGGATAATGAGACATTAAAATTGTTATTCTCAGATATTCGGATAATATAATATCGCACCAATAAACAGATTTTTTAAACAGAGATATTTTCTTATCGTTTCCTCAACCATGGAGAAGACGGCTGACAGTTGTCCAGCCAATAATCACTGACACCTTCCACAAGGTAAGTCACAAAATATTCTCACTAAAGAAGCTGGAGTGTCAGCTTCTTTAGTGAGAATATGACACTCACTAAAGAGTGTGTGTCATATTCATTAGAAAGTTGAGTGGATGAAAACTGTTCTAGAAAAATACTCATGCAATTGGGACAACTGTAACTTTAAGAAACTTGTGCAGGACAAGCCATTCAAGAGTTTGCACTGTAGGTGATTCACAATGTGGGCAGCAGCTGGAGTCAGCTCTTCAAGAGAAACCACACACAGTTATGTGAACCATCATAGTTCTTATGTAATCAGATTCTGAACAAGACAAGGGGAGAAGCATTTTTACTCATTCAGAATATCCATGTCTCCAATTGTAGAGCAATCGTGGAGGGGGACTGAATCAGACTTCCTTTGAAATCTATTGAGGTTTCCACTGTCAGTGATGATTTTTGACATCCATGTCATCTTCTAGTCCTCTGTGTTTCCTTTAGTCTAGAGTCAGCACCACAGTATATTTTACCACTTTGTGATTCCTGCTTATCAGCAGAAGGAGGCCCTATTGTATCAGTGTGCCTGACTTATAAACTACATCCACATACAAAAAAATAAGTCAGACAAAAGACAATGAGCAGAAAACCCAAAGACATACAAAACATAAATTAATCAAAGAAACAACTAACAAGAAGTTGAAGGGTTACCTAATATGGTTGATTTTAGTGTGAGGGAAGACAGACATGTAGAGTTTAAAAAATGGGTTTTGGATGAAGAGGATCGTATAAAAAGACTATACCTGTACCAACACAGTCTACATGCAGGTGGAAGTCTCTTTCACTCTGGATGGACGATGGCAAAAATGAAGGTTTTCAGGATGACTATGTTCCAGGCATAGGATGGTGGAGAGGTGGTAAGATATTACAGGAAATGTATGACAGGAGAAAGAAGAACATGATGTAGCTTTTCGCAGCTCGGTTTTGGCTTACTTAACACGCATCATTTTGCTGTTTGTCCCACTGGAGACTGGGAGAAACCCTTGTGTGAGGGGTAGCGCATATACACAACCCCAACAGGTACAGTCAACGGAAAGAAGGAAACCACACTCTAGTTTAATAGAAGTATGCACTCTTTATTCTTGGCCTACCTTGCTCCAAGGGACCAAAGTGTTCAGCTGCAGGTGAAAGGGGAGGGGAGGGAGGCAAGTTGGTGGTATCTTCAACTGTAAAGAGGCATTTTGAGAAGGTGAGTCAAGCATACAGCCACATGAATCCAACGAAGATGATACACTGAAAGAATAAGCTCATTTATATAAATGTAGGACATACAGATGTATGGCAAGTAAAAAGCTGATTTTTGAAGTCTTTCAAAGTTAGGTGCTTAAAATGGATGATTGTTTACTCTGTACATGCATATTCTCCAAAGAATGTATAAGATTCTAAGGTGGAATGAACAATGCTTTGCAAAAGTGTATATAGATCCAGAATCTTTGTCCAATTATTACTAAATGCATACACACTTCAATGAATTATTTTTTATTATTTGAAGTGATAGAAAGGGAAGAAAAAAATGTAAAGAATTGGCACGGAAGCCTTAAAACTTTTTCTGAGATTATTAGTAAACAAGTGGCATCATGAACCAAATGCACACCAAACAGGTCAAGGATAAAGTGATGCAAACATTTAAACTAGGTTTAGGTTTCTAAAACAATATCCCAAATACACAGTTTACTCATCTCAAAACATCAAATATGCTCATCCTCCTATGTATTACTCAGAGAGGCAGCCAGAAATGTATGGTAACTCTGGAGGAGCTGCAGAGCTTCACAGCTCAGATTGAATAACTTGTTAAAAGGAGAGCTATTAGATCTGAACTCTACAAAGTTGTTCCTCGTTGAAGAGTCGGAAGCAGAAAGGCACTATGAAAAGAAATGTTTTATTTTTTTTTTTAATTAGCCATGTAGGCAACAGAGCAATCATGTGAAAAGGTCAGATCAAACCAAAATGAACCTTTTGGAATACCTATAAAGTGTTATGTGTGGTTAAAAAGAAATAGCACTGCATATCAACCTGATGCTTTTTCTTAACAGGGAGTTGAGAAAAGATGGATGGAGTTAAACTCAAGGCATTGCTGAAAGAAAACATATCAATATTTATGAACAGAGATTTAAAAGAGGTCGTTTTACAATGCACTGACTCCAGGTTTCCAAAGACAAAAGCATGCTACAGCTTTCAAGATTTAATTTACAAACAGCTTGTAAACTGTGTATCACTTTCTTTCTACTTCACTACTTTTTTTTCAGTCTATTACATCAAATCCCAGTAAATTTATTTCAAGTTTGTAGTTGTAATGAGGAAAAAATGAGAAGTACGTTATGCCCTGCAAAGCACTGACAAAGATTCTACTATAACATACTGTAGATGAACCGTTGAACTTCAGGTGTGAAAACTGCTGACTCAAAGCTGCCTCAGTAGGTCTTTGAATCCCCGGATAGTTGCCGGCAGTGTGTCCTAACCCTTACTCAACGCTAGCTAGCATAGACTCCAGTTCTGTGAGATAAGCACACAAGATTTTTTTTTCCCTCTTCCTACTTCCCTGTAGCACTTATGCCAGTATTAGGATCTCACCTGACGGCAGCCGCTGAGTCTCCTGTTCTCCCTTTAGCACCGCCACTGCCTCTGCTGTCACTTCCTGCACAATCCGTGCCGAAACTTGCTCTGAAAATAGAAAATCACACAAACCCACAATGTAATTAAAATGTTGAACTTCAGGTGTGTATTTATCCTTTCATAGATGGTAAGGGTTTTATTTAATCTATTAATATTAAATCTTAGAAATGTAAATTTAAAAAAAAAGGCTACAATAACCTCATTTTAGTATGAAAGATCCTCTTTGTGTCATAATGTTAAAGCATCATCTTCAAAGAAAAGGAATCAAGATACGATTTGTGATGTCCCCAAACCAAATTTATTTTTGATTTTACCTTAAATATAAGAAATATTATTGTTTGTTTTTTTTTCTAGCATTGAACAAAAAAGAAAATCAAACAAAAAAATGTTATTTTACAGAGCAATAAGTATTTGCTCTGATTGGGAAAAATCTTAAAAACTACTGGTAGGTTTGTGAAACAATCTTTTGAGTTTCTTTTATATGCTTAAATTTATGACTTTCATTTAGGCACACAAAACTCACCACGGTACTCAGAGTAAACAGTAGATGCTAGTGCACAGAAAATATGCATGTATTCAGTTCTGGCAGTAAAAGCATAATCCATAGAGTATGCACATTCTTCATGTTCATTCTCAGCCCATATTCAACCAAATATATATTTGTTAAAGTAAGGGTATCTATCTGACAAGTGCCTCTGAAGGTTATAAAAATGAAGATGTGCATGACAAGCCGACATGGAAATCACATGGTCCATTCTGATATGCCACCTTTAAAAATGGTGACAAGCAACAGTTGGTAACCTCATTTGTATTCTGAGTATTGGTGCCTGTATGGATTTCTTCTGTTTATGCTTTTGTTGTCACAGTTCAGTAGTGTACTCTATATGTTCCTTCTATCTCTTTTAGCTACTTGTAAAGCTAAACCTACAGGAAATGACGTGCAAAGGAAAGCTCTGCTTAGAAGAAATGACACCCTGGGGAACGCCCTCTCTGGGGAGAAGCTTAGACAGAGGCTAACAAAAGAGGCTTGTCGCCATTTTGACTGTTAGCTCTCAAAGGTAGCATGACAGAATGGACCAGCTGTATTTTGGTATAATAAATGGAATTCATGAATTCAGCCTCATAAATCAAGAGCTCAGCCAAGGTTGAATCTCTGCAGTAGCTATACTGTTGCATTGTACAAGCAATTTGAACATCAGAATTGTTTATGACTAATAAAGTTCCAGAAAGAAAGGCAGTGATGTACGCAACATTTCGTAACTCCTTCTTTAAAAACTGTGAAATAAACTGAAGCAGTTTAAGTCGAACCACCTTTGGATTTATGTTTATAAAAGCCTTTGTGCATCTTTTTTTTAAAAAAATCATGCACAGAGCCTTGATTTGGAGTGGTTATAGGACTGAATGTTTGATGTGATAGCTTTAACATGCTGCTGTTTCAGATTTTTTTCAATTCATCATCACCCACACACCACATAATCTGGCAGCCATACACACTCCCACTGTTGCACACACACACACACGCTTCTTCCGGGAGCATTTAATGTTGCCCACTCACCAACTCAAAGCAGCCAGCTTCTCATTATCAATAGCAACAAAAAATACATTTTCAGTGTTTCCAGGGAAAAATCCTTTCTTCTATTAATAGACAAATTGTTCTCAAGTCAAGACCATTTGACTTCACTTGGTTAAAAAAAAAAGCAGATTTGTGTGAATTTTTTTCTTTCTTGGATATTTGTTTCTTGTTCTATTTTTTAGAAATTTGAATTTACGGTTTATGATCAGCAGTTTGCTTCTGTTTGTTGAAACTAAAACATTGAATTGCACACCAAATGATGTCGATGTTTACCAGACAAAGGTTAAAATGTTATGAAAAAAAAAGGGGGTGTGGTGGGAGAATCAGTAAAACAGACAGAAACAGAAAAAAACTTAGATGAGCTGCGTGGGAATATAAGACACATTCACTTAGAAACTGTAAAAAGTGAGGGGAACCTTGTCCACGTTGATTTGGCCCAGTGACGCCTTGTGACTTATCTGCATTTTAACAAACTCTCCAAAATTGTCAACATACCTGCCTAGAAAAAAAGTTGTGCCCTGACAAAAGGTTGCAGGAACCAGGCAAACCATGAAAAAAGTGTGACTGGAAAATAGAGAAGTGCTCCACAGTCTACAACAAACTGAAGACTTGCTCACTATGACCACTGCGTTTCAGTTTCCATTCTCTGAAAAGTGATTTAAATAGTCTCAAAGTACAGCCAGCAGACATCTCTTGTATAAAAATGTGAAGGTTATTTATGTTGATTTAACTCCAGTGGTTTGATAATAATTGAAAGCTTAATAACATAAGCGATCAATGTAGAAAAGAGATGCAAATTCATGAAGTTGTCTAGAAAACCAAGCCCTAATTTCCTGCCTCAGCAAATCCAGACGTTACATCCAAACAGCTGATTGTACATCACTGGGTTTGGGCAGGTGACGTTTTTAGAAAGGACTCTCAAAATCAGCTTTTTTGACTCATGGGTCACATTTTGTCAGTGAACATTTTATGAGTGTATAAACACAATGTATTTACATTTACTTCCAGAGTCACCATCTCAGGTCCATCTGTCAGTCAGAGACAAGACACACGTCACAGGATGTATCATGCTTACGAGTATCCAGCTACCACTGCCAGAACATATAAAACATTTTAAATCAGTTGTTATGTTGTATGTTTTATAGCTTTTTAAAAAATATATAAATACTTTATGCTAATTTAGTTTTGGGATTTTTTTTCTTTTTTCGGTTATTGAAATGCAGGAATTTTGTTTCTAATTTGCATAGTAAGCCAAAACATTCAAACATGAATTTTGTATCAAGTGCTAATAGTTTCAAAACCACTTCACAATATTCACAACCCTGATGATCTTGACCTGCTATGGACAAGGCACATCACCAGTGTTAAATGTCCATCAACATAAATGTCCTCAATTAGTCTCCAACAAACAGAGAAATGAGAGGAAAGTAAAAATACTTTGAAGAGATAAAGATATTTTGTTGTGTGATAGAAATGATGGAGAATCTTAATCATCACAGATAGAATTACCAATATCAATTGAAATCAATTCTGTTGATTCATTGTGCTTTGTGCCTTTGAGATACAAGTTTTTTATATATAATGATGAAAAAAATAGGAATTGTATCTGCTCTAAGTAGTTAGATCAGAGTTCGGGAGGAAGAATTGAGGTTTGGTGGAAACAGACAGCTGTGTACCATCCATGACACAATCTATTGTAATGACTGAAAAATTAACCAATAGAAGAAGACCTTTCTATACTTTCATGCCATTGCCAAACTCTGAGTTGTCATCACTCATACTAATTATGTGAAAGCGGTGACACCTAATTAATTTAAGAAAAAAATAATTTCTCCCTATAGTCAGGCTGTTGGTACAAAGTATGTTGGTATGTTTTTTTTTCTTTGAGAAACATTAAGATTGTGCTTACATCAGCTAAATGAAATACACGTCAGTCAAAGATCCTTCATACTCCCAAATCCAGGCACCCCAAACTCTCTCTAACTGTTCTTCTTTCTCATTAACAAATTCTGTTCCTTCCTCCTTCTTTTCTCCTTTTTTTTTTTGTGGCCACTCATAACATGGCTGACTGACTTTTTCAACTTTCTTTCAAAGGAAAGTCAAGAGGACAATTTTGTGCTTCACTGGTTCTCACGGTGACTGAGGAGCTTTTCAGGGGGAGAGGGAGCCTAGTGAGAACCAACTTCTGTCACCCGCCCTGCCCCACTTAGCCCTCACTCTGCCCTGCTCTGAGGAGATGCTAATGAAATGCGACAAGATGCAAAGCAGACAAACAGCTTCACATGACGCTACTGAAGTGGTGTGCAAATTACTCATAACGTTAATATACAGCTTAAAACTATTATTACAGATAATAATGTGAAAAATGACGTTTTTGAAAATGAAATTATTTGTAAGCAGTCATCAGTCATTTACAACACCTTGCAAAGATGGTGTTGTGGCTGTAACATTTTCTCATGTTAAAGCCACAAACTTAAATATATTTTACAAAACTATCAAAATCTGCAAAGATATTGGTATCTACATAAATTAACATGTAGGGCATGAAAGTATTATTCAAAGATGCAACCAAGAATCCCATGCGAACTCTGCAGGCTGCAGTTGGAGAATCTGATCACCTTTAATCTTTTTAGCTGTGCCATAGACAAATTTGGCCTTCATGAAGCAATTGCAGTTTGAATAAAGATACGTGAGTAACGGTTACTCTCTGAACCACTGTAATCATCATTAAGAGCTGGTATCTGTAAAAACCTCAATGATGGAGACAAGCGATGTAAAATTAGCTCTTTGTCAGCACATACTAAATTCCTTTGTCTGTGGCAAGCTGGAATTAAAAAAGAACAAAGTTTTGAGAAAATGGTGGGGGACTGTTGCTATCGTTACACTACTAGCACCACTGGTTGCCAGTCTGGTCTTCTGGGTGTGAGTGAAGACAGGGTCTGGCCAGCACAGAGAAATGCTTTATGTGTTAATTACAGCGTAGTTAATAACAGTATGTATCCTAGAGAGTGCAGCAAACCCACTCACTGCAGATACAATCCAAAGTATCAGCTCAAACACACTGAAAAGGTTGCATGCTGTATGCAGCACAGCCCACAGCTTTGTAAAGAGTGAGTACACTATCAATTCAGCTTATTCACTTCAGTGTAAAACTGCTTTATCAATCCCAAAGGGGGATCCCAAAGTTTAAGTTAAAATATTAAAAAATAGTAGTGCTCCTTTATTTAAACACACATATAAAACTTCAGCAAGAATAAAATGCACACAAACTCAAAAAAACCAGACCTAGACAACTAATATGCTGTATATCCACAGATTTCAAAAGGAGCAAAGCATAGCAGCCACTTGGCCAAACCATGGCATCATAAAAGGATTTTTAACATATTATTGCACCATTTCAATAATATTTGAAATGATCATTATTTAAATTATTAAATTAATAAAAAAAAAAAAACTAAAACCAAACTGGCATATTAACAAATGTTGATCTACCAAGCAGTAACTCTTGTTGCTTGAAGCAAACTTGCTGCTTGAATCAAAATGACAAAATGGATTTTGTCATTTTGATTCATGACAAAATTCATGTTTTGTCATGAATCAAAACAATGTTTCTGACCTTATTATTTTGTGCTCTAACCACAGACTTTTTCAACCAAGGGATTAATGAACACTGTTGGCCTAATGCTCCAGGGTTATATTTTACCTCATACTCTTTTGTAATGTAAAATATTTCCAAAGTTTACACTTTGTGCTCAAACAAAAAAGAAGTGAAGTTAGAGAGATAAATGTAAATTCACAAAATCTGAGGGCATTTTACCTGCAGTGATAGCGGGAGCTCCAGCTAGTTCACCATTAAATCCATTCTCCCTTGCAGTGTAAGGAGCGGTGGTCATGTGGATCCCTCCAGGTTGGCAGGTCCGATAGGCTGATGAAGAGTAGCTGTTTGCACCATGGGTGCCGCCAGGTTCTTGCCCCCCTGACGGGTCCCACTGGGGGGCGCTGTCTTCTGGCTGTCGACTGTCTGCCATGCTGTTGCTAAATAGCAAGACCGGGTAAAGGTTTGGGAATCTCAATTTCTGGGTGACAGACAAAAGGAGATTCAGGAGTGAGGTAAGAACTGCAATATTAGTGACGTTACATAAAGGAGAATGAACAGACTCGGGCTGTAGGACGCACTGCATCAGTCACATTCACAAATCTCTTTTTGTCAGTCATAATCCCGGCCCCAGCACCACCGCTTCACTGGCAACAGTTATCTGACTATGGATGTGTGCTTGTGAATTTGTTTGTAGGTGGTGAGTTATTGGGTTTGGCTTTATACCTGGCAGATGACAACCTCTGTAAAAAAAACAATATTGATTTCCATGTGCGCTGTGTAATGACTCATGCAGTTAGTGGGTCAGGTGGAATAAACAACTGGTAAAAATTAACAGAGGAGACACCGAGTTTTAAGCATTCAAGAAGGGCTGATGTAAGCAATGGGCTCCAGGTAGTCAGTATTGAAAAATGAAAAAAGCAGTTGAGACATAAAAGTGGCAAATGCTTAAAAAAAAAGGGAAGGTTTCTGCTATATTTTCATTTTAAAAATGCATGTTTGCATGTTTTCCAGACTCAATATTCTACAAATGTATTAGCGGTTTTTTATCAGATAATGGATATTTTAGTATAACGAATTAACCTAGTAAGATATTAATGTTTTTTTTATATTTTCCTTGTTTTATTTTGCATTACAAAACATGTTGCTGTAGCTGGTTTCTTATTATGCCAAGTGGTAAACAGATGTTTCCATCTACCATCTGGACAAACGTAGATCAGTTTAAAACTAATTTAAAATATACAGTATAAAGACTGAAGTTAAATACAATCTTTTAAATCACAGCAAGACAAAGTCCCAAAAAACAGAAATATCAAAAAAATGTTCTTTTACATAAAGCTTTACAAATGCTCAAGTTTTGATGTGGAAAAGAAACTATCTCAATTAATGTAAAAACACTATTTCAGAAATAGTTTTTTTTTTCTTTTCAATAATAAAATATCAAATTAAGACAAGAAATTCTGACAATTTTTGCACTCATTTTTTACCTTACTTAATCAGACTTGGATAAGATCTGATTCATAGGAACGCTGATAATGTAAAATAACTTTAGCTTGCAGTAACTCAAACTTTATACCTGAGGTGGACACAGAAACTCTCTCATTGCTGATCAAAGTTGATCAACAAACAGGGAGAGAAGCTGAATGCAGAAGACACTGATGAGTCTGTGTAATTAAAGACAAAATAAAGGAACGATTTACAGGACTGCCACGTAGCAAGCAATAAATAAACCTAAAGTTCTCATCTTGTTGTCTTTTTCACATCTGAGAATTATAAAAGTTAAAAAAGCAGATGTTGATTTTTTTTTTGTTTTTTTATGATTATTTGCATATTTTTTTCACTGTTGTCCCAGTTTTTAATGAGGCAGTTCCAGTCTCCAGCGACACAAGAAGCACATTCAATTTACCGCAGTCTAACAGTAAAAGGGCTGAAGTAGAGACAAACAAAGGGCGTAGTGGTGGGTTTTACAGGAAGATAAGTGGCTGGCAGTACCTGAGCTGTGTGTAAGCGTTTGTGTTGAGGTAATTTGTCATTTAGCTCTGCAGTCCACAGAGATCCTGAGAGTGAAGGGAAGCCTAATGGAGAAAACAGGAGTCAATAACTGCAGCCTGAACGCAAGGCGATGCTACAGTGAGCACTACTCACTGAATTCACAGTACAAACCACATTCCTGATTAATGTCTACTCACATAGATTACCTAGCAGACTGTAACTGCACCCAGTAAAGAGAATGGTGCTGGTAGCTATAACAAGAATGAAAGTAAAGCACACATTTTTGTAATAATTTACAGTGTAAATAAATATATATTATTTGTTTTATTCCATTATAAATTGTGTAATTGTAAATATAATATATTGGAATTGAAAAGGAAAAAGGAAATAGTCGACGAGAGAAGAAAACCCTTTTGGAAGAAATAAAATGAACTAAAGAAGATTAGAGTATTTTTGCTAATAAGGGAATGTACACTAAGGAGAGTAGAAAAGTCATTTGTTTTACAGGCCTGAACTAATTTAACAAAGTAGCACTGCTTTGCCCAAAAAGCAATGTCACTGCTTAATCACCATATTTCAGCTTGGTAATTATGCTGAAATATTTTGTGGAAAATCTTAAGCGCAGAGTTGATGTACACTTTGTGACCAAAATCTCTTCACAAAGTGCAAAAACAAAAAAATTAAAAAATCCAAACTCTAGTTGTAAGACATTTATATTAATGCTTTACATTACAGCTAAGAAATAAATGTGACAGAATTTTTTTTCCACTATTTTTCTTGACATTTTTATTTTGATCATAATATGAAAAAAAAATTGTTTAGTTTAATATTTAATTTTTTTGTGTTTTCATGGGGTAATAAAACAACCCAATGACCTATTCCACTGAAGAAAAGAGAAGATAACTTTTATTATTCTTCGACTCCAGATTCCAAGCATCTTTAATACTTAGTCGAGCACATATTGCTGTCATGACCTGCTGTAAACGTGGTCTATCAAAGAATAGAAATATGTTATTGCTCCACAGTGTGAAAATTCAGGTGCATTAGCAGACACAAGCTTCTTGCAGTGTTTCTGCTCAGTCCTCATTTGCAATGATCTCCAGCCACTGCAGGCATATTGACTGTAAGTTTCAGTTTATTTTTTTCTGTAATGCAACTTCCTGGAACATTTCCATGTACTTAGGATGTTTTATTTTACATTTTCACTTTACTGGGTCGTTTTTGTAGATTACACCCCCTGCCGGTGAGCAGCTTGTCCTATTACAGAAATGCTGCTGCAATCTGGACATGCTTATCTTCTCCCTCTTCTAATGCATTCAGTAGATACCAAAATGCATTAAAAATTGTGAAATCAAACCAATGCAGAAACATATCTGATTTTCAGAGCAAATATTTTTTAAAGGAAAGAAAAGCAAAGCTACAATCAATAACATGCAATCTGTTTATGTCATAAGATGTCACCATCATGTTACTGTAAAACAGCTTTGAATCATATTGATAATTGTTGATACTTCAAATTCCTACCACTCCACGGCAGGGAGCAGAATGACTCAGCCGGTATGGAACATCAATACTGATGAAACCTCAGTTGACCTGTACAACTCTGCACATGCTGACAAGCTTTACAAAAATGTATGTTTTCCCGTTGTTGAGTACACACATCATCTCCATAGTTCCTTGTATGCCGTGTCTTATCTGTTTGCCATTGGATCCATGGCAAATCCACATTTGAAAAGCACTTCATAGATTGGAAGAGGTATAAAATACAGACTTCCGGATGCTGTTCTGGTGCTCTGAATATGTGCCGTCTGTCTGGTGATGAAGGTCACTTTGAGCTCTGGCTAATTTCCAGACGCACTAAGATCACTGTGAATGGTGGCCAGGATCAGAGTGTGAGAGGGGGAGGAGAGAAAGCACAGTGATCTGGTTTTCTGAAGATCAGCAGAGCTCTGCACAAGATATTTTGTTTACAATATGGTTCACATTTTGTAATTATTATTACAATAATACAATGTTAGAATTATAAGGAAGCAAAGTCTGATACAAAACAGCAGAAACCGGCAGAGCACATGGTAATTCTGGTCATAACAAAAAACATCGTTCTCTTATCATCTTAAAACAAAAACTAGGCTGCAAAATACCAATAATAAAAAAATATACTTGAAATACATCAGATTGAGTTTCATTTGTTGGTTTGAATTACTCAAAAACATTCATCTTACATCTATATTGCATTTTTAATTCATATGGAATATAAAAAAGACATGAAACACGAGTTTGAAGAAGGCATATGTAGACAATTGATCATACGAACTACGAAAGAAAACGTATAACAAAGATTCAGAATATGCAGTCTCCTATATGACTGAGGCTATGTAAAATGCTAATGTGATAGATTTTCCAGTAGACATCAGGTTGGTTGTAACTGGCATGAAGCCAATGGCACTTGGCCAGATGGTTTGGTTGATGCACATAGGTGGTTTGTCTGTACTTGGGAAGAGTGGAGATGATTCATGAACCAATGAGCGGATTTGGACCGTACTTTTTCTGCTTCAGAATATTTATTCAGAATTATGAAGTGAACACCATCTGAGGCATTTATTTCAATCTACTCTCTCTACAAAATTATTTTGTAGTATTGGACAAGAGACACACGTTGAACTTGCTGAAGTTGTCTTGCAGTGATTTCAGATTTTTCTTTTATCTCTCATTAATTTGCTATTGTATGTGCAACATAAACTTAGGGCCTCATCCAGGATTCTTTTAAACTGTTCCTGTAGTTTTATAAGTAACAGACATTGCTGTGACTGTAGAAATGGGTTTAAGTGAGAAGCCATTTTGAATGACTTCTGACAATCAACGGAAGTCACTTGAACTCTGATGTCAGTTTTTCACAAATTTCCACTTAGAGATGGACCAAGAAGCCACATTATGTTAAAATTTCAACTTACAATGTTGAAGATCTCTGGTCATTTTTGACTAACATCCAATATAGCTGCCTAGCATATTAACATAATTAAAGATGTTATATTTCATCTTCTCAATATATTTGTCCAATAAATATATTAAGAGTCAAAGGCAGCAACACGACACCTTGTGTTGCTAATAATGTTTTGCCAATAGTAATTAGAACAACAGTCATTAAGTTGCTTTTCCAATGTAAAAACATTATGTATTAAATTTCTAATGAGACACTGCATTTTGTTTTTTGTTGACTGAACAGGCACCAAAATGAATAGTAATAATTGAAAAATATAACTATGTTTAATCAATCTGTAAAATACATTAATTAAATTGTTTAATTGAATTTCTGAAATAGATTAGCTTTTATATAATATTCTAATTGACTGACATGCATTCCATATAAATATGATGCTATTTCATTGGGTCACATTCCCATAAAGACATTATCTCATTGACTGCCCTAACATTATCAAGTCCCTGGGCTGCAGTACAAGGGAGAGTTGAGAACACATTTTATCCAGTGAAGTACAATCCATGCAAAAACAACAGAACTGCTGTCAAAAGAAGATACATTGCAGACACACCACTAAAAGTGCAGTCTAGACACAAAAAAATGCACCTATGTTTTTCATCATGCCCACTGCCTCAAAATAGAAATGAGCAGCCCATTTAGAGGGAGAACCTGAAAAAAAATATATGCTTGATTAGGTTTGCATTTGTCCCCTCTCAGAAGAACTCAGTAAAGTAGAAATCATGTTTTTTTGAAGTGCTAAAGTAAAAAGTCTGTCTTTGTGATCGCTGTTAAACAATAAAAAGCTCAAAACACTGTCGACTTTTCAAAGCTGAAGCTCAACTATAATATTAATTTGATTACTAAAGCTGTAAAATCCTTCAGAACGCAAACAAAAAAGGCAAAGGTTACAGATGTAGTTTGTATTCTATTGCTGATTTTACAAAAAATTATATAAATTATCTTTGATCAACAAACTATCAGTAGACTCATCACATGCTGTTTGTCCTTTTATAACATCTCTTCAATATAATTATACCAATTAGTAAAGCTAATTCTAATGGTGACATTATGCAGCTGTCAAAGGCTCCCTTAGGGTCATTATGCAAGCTGAATTTTCTGGCGGTTCATTTCCAGGGATTTTGAAACTATTTTCTGCCGTGTCTGTGCAGCACAGACACAAAAAGAGTGTCCATCATCAAAAGATGAAGTTGATAAATTGTCTGCCTCGCTAGAATTCCTTGCTAGACGATTTTCCAGACAATGTAATGGCTGAGCTGATAAAGAAATCAATTTTTCATGTCCATCAATCTTATTTGCTTCCTTCTCTTCCCGAGCACTGAGAGCTTCTTCCCACCTGTTATTTCTTCCTCATCCTCACCTGCCTCCTCCTCCTACCACCTTTGTTCCGCCTACTCACTCCTCCACCTTTCATCAGGCTTCAGCACTCTCATAACTGCGCTCTCCGTTGCCTCATCTCCCTCCTACGAGTTGAGCACTTTACATGCCGCCATCTCGCTGAATGTGTGTGCGCATGTGTTTGTGCGTGTGTGCCTGCGTGTCCACGCGCAAGCACGTCACACAGATGCTGCATTGCAGGGCTCTCTTCTGAGGGCCCAATCGCTGCAGGAGTCAGAGAGGCAAGGGATACAAGTTGTTGTACCTTGGGGTGTAACTGTGAATGTCCTAATGCATTCGTTAAACGTGAATTTTGTAAAGGAATGCTTTATGTTTCTTACTGTATATGAGCACTTGGTGTCTATAAGGAACTAGCATGAATGTATTAAATTATAATGCCTTGGAAAAATGCTTTTATTCCTTCATTTTAACACTTTGACAACTACAAACCTATATGATTTCATCCAAAAGCCCATCCTAGCATCCTCGTCCAGTCCTTAGGAGCTTCTACCTTACAGCTCATTTATTCAATTAAATAAATGACTCATTGGCAGGACTCTGCAGAGCTGAATGACATGCTAATGAGGAAATTTAGTCATTTTATCCAAGTGTATGAGAAGAGAGATATATCTAACAGTTGCAGGATAATAGCTATAGGAGTGGACTTGGGCACCCCTGTGATAAACTAACAAAGTAAATGTTAAGTAAAAAGAAAAGTGGCCCTTGGCCACTCGGATCTAAATTTTACTGTGGCTCTGGTTGTGTTTATGGATATTGCTCAGCTGGAAGGTGAAACTCTTCCAGGAGTTTACAGTCTCACAAATGTTCTTCCATTATAGGCCTTAGTTTAGCTCAATGCATTTTTCTACCTGCTAAAGATAAAGAGCCTGAAGTGCAGTGCTGTCGGCATCTTGTTTTTGCATAATGTGCCATATTAGCAGTTTTGCTAAAAGATGTCAGCATAAGTTTTATAATCAGAGAATATTTAATGTAAGTGAGGCTTTGTGCTGATGGAATAAATACTAACAGCTAAAATCTGAGTTTCAAAGATGTTGATGTTTTTTTTTAAAGATTCATATAAACTACAATTATTTAATATTCAGTTCATGGGTTGGTAAAGATATGATAGCTTGTCATTATTTGTCAAGCAATCATGATAAATCATGACAGTCATGATTTGTTTTCTTTAAGAATATTTTTTTTTAAATAATAGGCCACTTTATAATTGCAAAAAAGATAGCTTATCACTGATTTACGCTAGCTAGTAATTTTCATCCTGACATGGTCATTCTTAACTGGTCTCTCTGAAAATGTGTGAAAATGGTAAATATACAATTTTTTACATCACCCGGAATAAACAACTCAGTCTTTTAAGACTTTTCTATACACTGTCTGTTTGTGAGAGCAGATTTTTTTTTTCTGTAGCTATAAGTAAGATGCAAATGCTACTTCAGCACATTTACATCCAAGAAATAAATTAATTTTGACATAAAGTGGTAAAATCTTTAAAGCAGTAATAAAGTGCACCTCTGAGCAATCTATCTAATCCAGTAACATGCCGAGAGATATCCTTTTTGTTTAAAATTTACCAAATTAATTTAGTATTGGTTGGCACGGTCACGCTGCATTAGGTTTTTCCTGCATAAAGATGCATGTTCTCTCCCTGCATGCATGAATTCTCAAGTACTGTAACGTAAGCAAACAAAAAAAATCCAAAAAGGATTTTAATACCTCAGCTCTTTGTTGCCAAAATATAAACAAACACAGTGGTTGTGGAAGAGTAAACAAGGACAGACTTTAAAGGGACTTGGACCATATTATTCCAGATGGAACAGATTCTTAAAACAAATTTCCCACCTAAGATTAAACCCAATTTGTCCAGAATGAAATTAACTCACACGCACACATGCACACACACACTGAGCATTGTTTCTCATTCATATTTATCATCTCTTGCAATTTTTATTATATGATGGCAACGTGTGGTTTTACTTTCTTAATTAATTCTTTCATATCTAATTAGACTACATATAGTCTTAGTTATACCTGGCTTTTTAAATCTTCTCAACATAATTTAAACATTTACTTGACAAGTACCAAACTATTTCAAATGGTTTGGCAGTAATAAAATGTACATTGCCTTGCAAAATTACCAGTTTCTAAGATATATGTCAGTGGTAAAGAAATTTTTGTTAGAAAGTCATAAGTCATGTTTGAGGTTTGACAAGTAAGGCATGTTGGTCAAAAGAGAAGAAATTTTAGGGTATTTTTGGTTTACAAGCAAAACACTATATGTGTTGGAAAACTAATACTGTACATCTATCTAAACACACCCAATGGTGAAAACTAGTGAGAGTTTATGAAAATATAAATTGATTATTTTTTAGAAAAAAACTTTTTGAGGTAATAAAAGACTTTTGGATCTCTGTCAAGACTTTCCTTACAGACAAAACCAAGTTTTTTGGCATTTAAAAATTGACAAAAATGTCTGTGTGCAGATGTGCAAAGCTGCTAAAGACATCCTAAAATACCTGTAATTGCAGTATAAGGTTCTACAAAATATTGATGAATGGAGACTGAAGACAAATGTTGGCCATCATTTCATATTTTCATTTCTAAAACAAAATTAATCATTTTCATCCTACTTCACTTGCTTTATATACCACAAAAAAAAATGGTAAAAACAGAGAACTTGTGTTGAAATGTGACCAAATGTACAGAGTTTAAGAAAATTACGTTACCAGAGCAGGGTAATCTTTCTATATTTGTGTTGCCATTGAAAAATCTTGATGTTTTTACTTTTGTCACAAAAAGTCCATCTGACTGCTTAAACTATTTGTTTTACCATTTGACTTAACCACAAAATGTTGCATCAAATGTAAGCAATGCTGTTTTGTTCATTAATAAAACTTTGTAATAATCTGAATCATCATTTTGTATTTTGTGAATAATAGAAAGAAACCCACATCATTCAGCCGCCAGTCTTCAAGAATCCGATCCAACCTGAATACCTGCTGTCATTCTACAGGCTCACAAAACACATAAGCCGTTAGAGCGTGACTACCTTTCAGTGGGTCTTGGTGTTGATTGTCTCACTAAAGCAGCTCTCCTCTTCCCACTCAGTACCCGCTTCCCACTCATAGCTCCCAGCAGCCTGCACTCACATGTACATCCACCCACACAGCCATTTCATCTGTGGAGGTAGCAGCCATTCTTTCTGTCTCTGTTTCTCTTGCTTTAAATGTTACTTTTTTTCCCACTCTGATAGATATTTATCACATCTCAGAGCTTCAGGACAGATAAATGTGAGTCTGAGCAGAATTAGTTTGATGCAGTAAAATGGTTTTTGCTGGTGTTGACTTTTTACTTGTGTTGCACAAATTTCACGTTGCTGGCAGCGTGATGAGATATGAAGCGCTATTTCTGTCACGATATTGTACAGAGAGTAATCGATAAACTGATTTCATTTTTGGTGAAAATGCTAACTTATTGATTGTGACTGTATAGAGAGTTGGGTATGTATCCATATGAGGTCGAGTTCTTACCTCTTAATAGGATCAGGGACTTTGGAGGATGAGTCGAGATGAATTCAAGGAATCGCTGTTGCTCCAAAATGTCACAATGAGGGAATTGAGATTCTCGAAAAAGCCCAGTGATAAATACTCCAAGTTGGACCTGTTAATAATGAAAAAAGAAACACTTTTTTTCCCCCATTTTAAGATCATGGCAGTTTCCAACTCAAGTTTCAAAACATTTTCTCAATAAGTGCATGTCATCTAGGCTACACTACATTGTGATGTGTAAAAAAATAATCCATCCAAAAATGTTGAGAAAAATTCTACCTTTAAATTTTACGTAATTTAAATTTAGTCAGTGTTTGTGTTTTGATAAAATCATTATGCCAAGAGCCTTTTCTTCCGTATATTAGATAAATCATTATTTTATCTATACTTTACTTTTTTAAACTAGTAACAGTGTTTAAAAAGTTCTGTAAAGTCATGCTCCTTTAGTTTTTAGATAAAAATGGCACAATGTTTACCTCTCTTTGAAATGTAAGACAAAAGAGCATGAAGTTTACCTAAGACAGATGTAGAAACAGTCACAGCAATAAGGTGATTTCCCACAAATGCCACAGAATAAAGATTCCCCTCTAATTTGGAAACACCCTATTTAACTTAATAGCTCTCTGCATTATTCATGGTGTTCTGCCTGCTTCTCTAGTGCTTTTCAGTTCTACACCACCCCATAATCCACCCAAACACTCAGAGGTCAGATACAGTCTCTTGATTCTCTTGATGTCTAAGAGTTGAGAAACCCATTGTGTTGTGACCGTGTTTCCCATTACTGGTTCTCAAGGCACACTGGCACATGTTTTAGATGTGTCCTACTTTAAAGCACCTGATTTAGTTCATTGCAGTTCAATAAGATCTTCATTTTTAAACACAATATAACCTGTGACACACCAGGCTGGACAAGGAAGTTAATCTGTCACCATGCAAACAATGAGGACAACAGTAATCCAAAAGAATCACAGTTCAAAAACTTCAGCAGTTTTCGTATTTGATTTTGTTTCTCCAAAAGCTAAAAAAGAATAAAAAAAAAACTTCCTTCATGTTCTGAGTGGGTGTGCCAATAAATATGGACGGTACTGTGTGTACAGTAACCAAGACAACTTAGATACAAACTTGGAATCATGAAATCCTTTGATGCACTCAGTTACCAAACTTATTGTTCAGAGTATTTTGAGTTATTTTAATAACAATGTAATTTTATGTTACTCTAACGTCATAAAGTATTGCCTCTCAGCTAAAACTGGACTCAAACTTCTCCACTTGTGATTCATGCTTTGATTTGCAAATATTTCCTGTAAAAAAAATAAACAGCATACAACTAATAGACTGATATGAACCTATTCTCCACTCTCACATTCACAGATATCAGTACATCAGTGACATTATAAAATGTACTGCATGATAGACCTTTATTAGCATAGACTTTACATTCTGATGAGGGAGTCAGCATTGCCAAGAGCCTTTTCTTCCGTATATTAGAAAATGCCTCTTAATGTTCTCATATCACTCTGGATAAATGGGTGTTCCGAAGGATAAATGAAAGGAAGATATGGCTGGACGCATTAGATGGTAATAGAGTTCATTTATAAACGTGCAAAAGAAGTTAATACTCAAAACTGAACTGAAGTAACACTTTTTTTTTAAATGCCCACTAATTTTACTGAGATATAGGAATATTTAAAGTGCTGAAAAGTTCAGTTTTGAACATAAATGCAAGTTTTGAAATTCATGTAGCTTTTTAACAATAAGACTGTGATGAGGTGAAAGTGAAGGAGCATGTCGCAAAAAAGTATTTCTGCTTGATAAAAACAACAAAAAAAAAACATTATGGAAGAAAATAAGTTTGTAGACCAAATTTGATGCCATTTTTTTTCCAATTTGAATTAAACATTTTATCCACAAAAGTTTCCACTGAGTAGTTTTTCTACAAAAACAGTGAAATTTCATCATTTGATCAGTAAACACTGGCCTAATAACAGGGGAGGTCTAAACTGTGACCTCCTCATCATTTGTAAATTAAACATGCAATCAATGCTTTTCTCCAAGGCTGCACAACAATATAAAGATATACAAAATGCAGCATTGGTCAATGTCCACTGTATCCAGCTACTGGGGGAAAAATGTTTTTGTCATATTACTATATCAACAAGGTTTTATTAAAAAGTGCTTAATTAGAAAGCAACTGGACTTTTGCTGATAACTTGGAAGATGTTTAACCTTTCACCCAAAAGGCTTCTACATTGAAAAGTATTTTTAATCAATAGCACTGGTTAACTGTACCATGAGTTACCTATCCAAAACAAAAACAACAAAACTGTCTTAGTGAATAATTTACTGCTTTTTCCCTCTAATTTGAGTGAATTCTACAGATATTATTACTTAGCTAATGAAGTCTGACAGTTTCAGTATGACAAGTGTAACAATGACTGTCAGGTTTTTCACAGATAGCAACAACTTCCTCCGCTATTTTTTCCATATATGAGCACCCTTCACACATAATATGAGTCATGAACTGACTGAAAGGAAACCAGCTACAGCTCCGGGATGCAAATAATCTCAGGAGACGACAGATTTTTTTGTTATTGCTTCAACTCTGGATCAGCTGAGGGTCACTTGTGAGTCACACATTAGACAGAGGCCTTGCACAGGCCTTTATTTCCTGTGGCTCGCTGCCCACACAGCATGCACTATCTCAGAAGACAACGTACTGTAGACAACTTATGGCACTTCATCTATCGCCTGATAACTGCATTTTTAGTTACTTTTATAACATTTCTAAGATGGCAGCGTGGCATAGTGGCCCAGCTGTGGCCATAAAAACCAATCAGAAACTTATAGAAATAATCTGTCAAATGTAAACAAAGAAAGAGCTTTAAATCATGCACGCTGATTTATAGCAGCGCATGTGAATTCTCATCCTCACTCAGTCATTCTTCTATTCTGAGGGCAGCAATCATCAAGCTGCTGGACAGTAGCCACAGCTGCCCTTAGGGACACTGACAGAGGCTGCCATGCCATGAGGCCCACTGACTACCGCCAGCAACACAGATGAAGTGTCTTGCCCAAGGACACGACAGAGATGGACAGAGTGGAAACTAAACACGAAACCCACGGCATGACCATTGCCACCACTTTCGATTATATCTGGATATGTGGAATTTTCTTTTTTTCTACAGTCTCGTGTCTTTTGTAAATGTTTCCTGAAGTCCTCAGTTTTCAACAGTATGACTCAGACAGCTATTTTAAATATTTTTCTCATTGCAAAAAAACTCCCGGCTTTTCTGAATAATATCAATAAATCATCCCCTGCTGTACAAAATGTGGGGCCACAAACAAAATAAACATCTGTTAATATCCTTCATCGTATCAAAGGAAATAGATACTTTCTATGCAACGTGCGGTTGAGTCTTTTGTTTTGTTTTTATTTACATTTTCCGCTTTTGCCTATTTGTAAGGATCATAATGCTGGGCTTTATGTATTTTTTAGTTTTATGTCAACATGCTGTCTTTCTGATCAGTCCTAAAATGCACCAAAAATGTTCTTTGTATAAAATTATCTTTCTTATCTTTCTTAGAAAAACCTCCACATTAAACATTTTACCCACCCAGAAAGCAGGTATTTTTATTTGGTCCTAATGTTGGGGCTTTGACTTTCAAACTAACCATTCTTGATTGCTAACTCCAAAATTACTTCTAATTAGAAATTAATGGGCAATTACCACAATAAACATCATTATTGGAGAAAAGTATTAGATATAAAATAGTAATAAAAATAGCAATTCGTTTAATATTAAACTTCTACTTTATGATGTTTCCAAACCCAAAAATTGTCTGGGCTGTTTTCATACCATTTGAACTATTTTTGTGTTCAAACGGCAAGATATTAAATTAACTAGTAGTCAGCTGTTTAAATAATGATTTTATCCTTTCAGCAAAATTTGTGTTTGTAGAGTCCTGAATGTTCTAGTAATTTTTGAATATTTTTTATCATCACTTTTATGGTTATCACAATAAATAAATCACAGTAATAGAATTTAAGCCCTTAATCAACCATTGCAGTTTCTAACGAATATGTCCTTATTGAAACCAAGATAAAATAAAGTAATCTGTGCATTTTGCTACCAAAGAGATTAATTACATTTCATATCAATCTTTAACCACAATGCATTTTTACAACTCACTAGGCACAATAAAGGTTTTATATCTACCATATAGGATTCTCTTCATGGGCAGCGTGGCAATGCTGTATTTCTGTTATGCAACAGACAAACACACAGAGATGTGACCCTGAATCTACACACATCCTGATTAAGCACACGAACAGAGAAAGTGCTTTGTTGTGTCTCCTGAGACTGCACATCTTGCAGTCAGTCACCTGTCAGCCCACATTTAATATAGACTGTAAAGGTGGCACATCTGTGTGTGCGTGTGTGTGGGGGGCGGGGGAGAGGGGTGCGTGTGTGTGTGGGGGTATGTGTGTGCGTGTGTGTGTGTGTGTGCGGGAGTGTGCGTGTACGCTTGTCAATGTCTTTCCAGTGATCAAGCTCTGCTTGCTGTGAAAATGCAGCCACCTCATGTTTTGTGAATGAATCTACAGAGAGGTATTTTGTGCTGATCTCTTGATGACCGTGAGAAAATAAAGTTTTAGATTAGTTTTAGATCGGTGTCATGAAAGTAGCTTAAACAGAATATTTTATGTGAGAATTGTGTATTATTAATGAATATGTGCTCTAGGACTATGGCCATCACCTCCACCTACATGATGCTGCAGTGTAAAGTTATCTATCTTTAGACTGCAGTCATATTCAGAGAAATATAACCATTTTGAACATTCTGCAGTGGTATCAAATTTTCACAATTTCTTCTTAGCTATTTCAAATTTGTAAGTTTTGAATAGTATAGGATGGATTACTATGAAGTTTAACACTAATTCTAAGTAACCTGGTTTGGACTGACCTTGACTTTTCCTTCTGGGGCTGACATTTAGGTTTTTAGTCACACACTATTTCAGTCACTGGAAGAATTGCTGTGATGTTTGTTTGGTCGATTGACTTTACCCTTAGGGTGACCTGCTTTGACATTTCACCCAGTGACAACCTAGGTCAACATTAGAACTGTTCAAAACTTTGTGTATGACCACAAGCACAAAGTATACATTAGGTTCATTGCTACTATCTGGACCTGTTAGTCATAGGAAAGTTTCTAGTGTCCTTGATAGCATGTCTTTATGCTGTTTGCCATTGTTCACCTCTTATATTCAAAACAAACATTCATGGAGAGCCTTGTTCAGTATGTGGTGACCCCACTTTTTACACCATTCTACTCTGGGCTGTCCAATTATATTATTAATTATATTATTTCAAAGCTCAAATAAGTGTGTGCTTCCACATTTGCCTCAAATGTATCATCCATGTTCTCAATAAACCCCATCAGCCAGTCAAATTCCTACAAAACTGTCAGATAGTTTAATGTTTCAATTCAAATTGTGCACATATTGCACTTCAGTTTGAATATGCTTTAATCATTGGTGGGACTCTTGAATGACATTGTTAAATTAAAAGTCGTAATAACATGAATGTGGAAAATGCCAATAAGAAGTTAAAATTAAGATATGACAGATTCTTAAATATTTTTCACGGTATTGGACTAAAGAGAAAACCTTCCAATTAAATGTGGATGTGAAATAAGTTTACTAGTAGTGTTCTTTCAAAACGCAAACTGAGTGAATTTTAGCTTCTCAAGGGTTAACTTTAGTTAAATAAAGTTTAGTCTGTTTAGTTAAATAAAACTGATTAATTTTAGTTGCTCTTACTATGTGGGCAGAATTGATTATGTTGACATATTTATTTGTATCTACATGTCACAAACAAAAACCAACATCCTTTATCTGACCTATTTATATTTGAAATGCTCAAAAAGCAGTTTGTCAGTATGACCAACTAGGTCAAAGACAAAAGCTCATCTCAAACAACAATGCCTTTACAAAAGAAAAAAGTTATAGGAAACATTCTCCTAAATCTTGTGCAAACCTTCCCTGAAGAGTTGCAGGTATTATAGTTGAGAAAGGTTGACTGATTATGGGATGTTGCTCAAATGAATGTCCATAAAGACAAACAATCAGGTACATTTGGCAATATAGTATATTTTGTATACATGTTTAAATGGTTGATATGCATGCCACAATAAAGAAAAGGGGCAAAAATGGTGGCAAACCATGCAAATGAGAGATTGGAAAAAAGAGAGAACCAGGAAGGAAACATGGACAATAAAAGAGTCTAGCCTGAGGAGTGGGGGGAGTCTGGACCATTACATCACTGCTGCAGTGGCTGACAAACATCCCTTTTTCCCGCCCCCTCTCTCTCTTTCTCTCTGTGTGTCCTCAGACACCACCAGTGAATAACATTTACAGTGTTGTGAAAATGGGTAGGACCCTGAAAATATTTCCTCCATTTTTGTTTTTTTTTTTGTTTTGTCATATTTTCATGTTTCAGATGAAACAAATTTTAGTACTGAATATCTTTGGTTTCCACTGACTATTTTATTCATTAAGGGGAAAAAAGCTGCACAAACAGGTGAACATCCTCTGACATAATTTTCTGGTAAAGAGCAACGTTTTTGATTCCATCAATTATGAGTAGCCACCCAGGAATTGGGAAGTGAAAAGCAAATCTAAACCCTCACACTACCATCTCCGCCACCATGTTTGACTGTCGGTATAACTGTCTCTTTCTGAAATGCTGCATTAGTTTTAGGTCAGATGTTAGATAATCTACACCTGAGAAACTGTTGAGTTTTTTGTGCTGGAAGTGCACAACATATATTTCTTAAAGTCTTGATGACATTAGGGAATATCATCTGGATATTTTTCTGTGAATGGATCAGCAATGGTTTATTTCTTGGAACACTCCCATGCAATCCAGTGTTACTGAGTGTTTTTTTTATTGTTAAATCTTGGACACTCTCATCATCTTTTGGTTCATTTTGGTCTCTCCTGGGAAGGTTCATCTGTGCTGTTTGTTTTCTCCAAATACAGATTATTTGAATCATTTTGATTCACTGCATTAGAAATGTCTTACCTAAATTCATTTCCCAAACTAATAGATGTCAGTAACTTTGCTTTTCTACAGTTTTTCAAATAGTTTTAGATGATTGTTGCTTTTTAATATCTTTCAAAAATCATAGAACTTTTATGTAAAAGATGTATTACATCCCTAGGTCAGGTAATTATCAGGCTAGGTTTGGCAATAATCAAACAAAAAGGTGATTGTCCTTTTAAAAGTAATAATTTAAGAGTAAAATATTTCCCAGAACTAGCATAGTCATGGTAACGTCCAAAATATAAGCTGCTGTAAAAAAAAAAACTGCATTCTTCTTCATTCAGTCTCACATTACTCTGAGATGACAGAAAGATAAATTGTTTGCACATTTCACCCATGATTTTATCCAGCAGCTACTGTTTCGTTTTTCTCTTCCTTCTCCCCCCTCCAGTGTTTTTGCTTTATTTGTCTGTCTCGCCCCGTCATTGTACTTTCAGATGTGGCAGATTCCTGACATCTGCCTGACCAGCCTGATTTGTATCTGGCTAAACACTGACCTATAAATCTTCCCAGGCTTGTTGCATTGTTCATTCAATGCAACAAGCCGCCCTGCCTGCCTTCCATGCTGCCCCGTCATTTTTATCTTTATAATAATTAAGATTATAAAGTATCAAGAGTGCAGCAGACCAAGGTTGGGACCATTTGGCTTTCAGGTTCAGCAACCAGCTTATTTGACAGAGGGTGAGGAGAAAAGGAGGGATTAAACAGAGGTAAAGGTCAAACAGACCTGCTGGAAAATGCCACAAACGTTTTTCCTTCACAAAGACAGTAGGGAAAAGAGACAGAGGAAAGTTTTCACATCAAATACTCTCATTGTGTCTGAATTGTGCAAGAAAAAAAATGGCTGATGGACTGGAAGTAATGACCAATATTAGTTTTAGAATCAGAGATTTTTGACGAATAAAACATGTTCATATTTAGAAATTGAAAAAAAACTAGGCATAAGAAAAAACACAATCAATGAGAATAAGAAATAAGAAAGCTGCTTCAAGTTAGAACTATAATTTTTTTGTAGCATTCTTGTTGTAGATTTACCATAAATCTCAACCAGCTTCCCATCAAACTAAAATCAGCAGGCAAGGTTAAAAAGATGGCTGGAAGCAAGGTTGCATTTTTTACTGTGTTAAAATTAAGCTAGTCAAATTAAGCTCCACTTGCAAGGGATCCTGTAGCTAATTGTAGGCAATGCAAACAGAGAAAAGAAGTTACCCTGCTCCACTTGTCTCATGTCCAAAGCAACATGATGGACAGCTCCCTGTTTCCCCTGCTGCTCATATTGGGTAGGACTCAATATGAAAACAACAATTAAGTTTGAAGATAAAACAAGAAATTGCATACGTGTGGTGTTGCCAATTTTTTTCTAGAATTACTTGTTCTCATGCATGTTTTCCCTCCCAGTCTGTGCTGCTGAATGTGTGGCAACTGCATATCCAGGTTGTTTCACATTTAAAAGTGCATCATTAAAGTAAACCAAACCATATGAAGGTGAATTGTGTTTATTAGACATGCTCAACATCCATCAAGTCGTGTAGTTGTTGAGTTTCCATTCTGTAAATTAAGTTGTGTGGTTTGCTGTAAATATGAAGTTTAGTTTCAAGTAGAACAACATAACTTTAATGTTTTTAAGTATCTGTTTTCTCCATGGGAAAAATAAACAAAAATTTATGTCTGGCATCCCTGCATGTTAGTTAAAAGTAAGAAGTTTAATTTGTTATGGGTTTTGCACATTCATTACTGCTCTCTGTCTCCCTGCAACAGATGAATGAACATTAAATAAACTCTAATCACATTTCTTCACAATTTTGCTCATTTTGTTCCTAACAAGTCCCATATGGACTGACACTTGCTCTCAGTTGCTCACTTCATCTTCCACAGCTGTCCTCAAGATTTTGCTATTTTTGTCCCAAGAAGAAACAAACATAACTTTCATTTGAAGCTGATAACAGAATATGGTTAAACCACAATAGTTGAACTCTGGGTAGCCCTGCAGTTTAGCTTCAAATAACAATTTACAGTGGTAAATTAGCCAAGTTTAAAACTTTCAATTTGTTGACACCATGCAAGGGATCATGAGCAACTTCAGAGGAACACATAAAACAACTTCGAGAACCATTACTATAGATTTTTGTTTTCTTTCAGTGCTTCTCTTGGCACAGCTTAACCCAGGTTTCTGCCGACATCACATAAAAAGAACATCAAGATCTCAATCCTAAGTAAAGCCTCTGACATACCTATAGTGGTATTACGAAATGTTTATTTGTGATCCAAGTGCTTATGTCGGTGTTAAAGTAGCAACATTTAATTTTGATATCTGTAGCAATAAGAATATTTTGACTATTTTGTAAGGTGTATTTACTAAATGCTGATCTGAAGGGGGTGAATATTTATGCAATCACTTTTTTTGGCATCGACATTTAAGGGGTTATTTTCTTTCTGTGGTTTTGATAAAGGAAGCCTGTAAATGTCGATTGTGACTGCATAAACAGAGAATCCTCTAGTTCCCAATATAAAAACACACACTGCATATACAAATATCAAATTTGATTTGAATCCCTGAAAACTTGTTCTTTCAGGTATTCAAACCAGATTGAATACCTGGTGACTGACACAGGGAAGGAAACAGGTGTGACTTGAGAGAGCATGTTTTCTTCTGCTGTTGGTTCTGAACTGAGACAACAACTGAGTCAATATGAAGATGGGCACACACAGTGACGCAGCATCTTTGCAGCAGCATCCATGGAGATATGTAGTGAGGAGAAATGTTAGAAACAGTAGGCCAAAAGAGAGAGGGAGAGGTTTTAAAGCTCACCTGGCTAGTTTAAGTGATGTCCGTGTCTCGGCAGAGAGGATAACATCCGAGACCTGAGAGAACAAACAGGGATGAAAGCGGGGAAACAGCAGTGAGGGAGGAGAAAAAAACAGGAGACCGAGAGATTAGACTTGGCTGGAAGTACTTTGGGAGTGCAGTGTAAGGTGACAATTCAGTAAATACACATACACCAGGCAATTTGATGAAAAAGAAGCAGTTGTAGATGCAGAGGTGAGAGAAAAAGGGTGAGCAGAGGTTCATGTGGGAGGGTAAGACCAACGCTGGTTTGAATTCAGCCAAGGCGTGAAAAGAAGTCGTGTTCTGGCTGGGAACAGGACACAAAAGAAGAAAGGAATGATGTGACAGTAGGAAAGAGAAGCTCATCAGTGAGTGGGTGTTTGCGTCTGTTAAAGCCACATGTGCAGCATTCATTCGACTGCGGCCACCGTGACAAAAAAGGCCTCCTCACTTTCCCGCTACCCTCCTTTCTCACACACAGTGAAGTTCCTTATGAAAGAATGAGAACGGCATGCTTCATTTACAAAAACACACAGCTGAAGTTGAGCGCAGATGCAATATAAGTGGCTTTAGTTTAACTCCCAATTTCAGATTTAATGGAAAATGAAGGCTGTGCTTCACTGTAGAGGTGAGAGGGATGTCACAAATCTAAAAATTCTGGATATCAGAAACCACCACAAAGTTACCACTTCACTCATTTTTTCCATTTAGGCCAAGTATTCCTACTCAAACACCATGCTTCACTAGCTTGATCCTGTTTTTTTAGTGATGCGTTTAAATGTCAGACATATGGAGAATTCCTAATACGATTGCTATGATGAACTGGAAATCTATCCTCATTGAGATACATCTGTGCAGCCTCCCCAACTTGTTTCACCACTGTCTTATATTTTTACATAATATTTTGTTTTCCTTCTTCTCCTCTGTCCAAACTAAAGACTATAACTAAGCAAATATAAAATAAGTCCTGCAATAACAGATGGCATGTGTTAAATCAACAGAACCAAATATTAATTTAAAGGTGTACCGCACATAATGTTGCAATATAAATATGTGTCAAGAAGTGAGCTGAGGATGCGGGTCCAAGGCGCAGACCTCCTAAAAAGGCATTTTAGGAGGTTAAAATAAAAAGTTATCCAGGGGCATAGTTTATACAACAAAACATACTAAAGCTGAATTCATCTTCAAGCAATGGTCAAGGTAAACTAAGATTTAAATGCAAGTAGCAATAAAGCAGAATAGCCTTTCAACCCAAATAAGAAAATAAATGCCAATCTATAACAAACAAAAAGAAACTAGACAGATAGAAATGAAATGGTATGGCACATTTGTACCATAGGGATTTGTAACAGTAATGGCAAGACCTATCATGAAACAATACAGCAACGATAAAACCACAAAGGAAACCAAAACCCAAATACCCAAGGATTATATTACGGTTTTATTTTCTATTTTTTTTAACCTTTTGCTAAAAAATAATTTTTGCAAGGTATAACAAAATCTCTCCAAAATTTGTTCCAGTGTTCTTTCTCTCATACAACATTAGTGTTGTATGAGAGGCATCTCTTGCAGTTAAGAAATTAGATATTAATACCAGGGGATAGATATGTCAATACTCTGGATTATCAATGCAGTTCAATGGCAAACAAAAAGCTGTGCTGAACTAGTGGCAGCCCCTCTTCCTGCAGCTGCATCAACCTTACCAGTCACCCCTCTCTCAAGAAATCGATAGGTTGCCCTCCACCATTTTCTGCCTGTTTTTTTTTTTTTTTTTTTTTTTTTAACAAAAAAAAGAAGAGCTATTCTTTATCAGATCAAATGTAATTTGACTGGTATTGGCTTCCAAACAAACACACTGGCTGAACCCATCTATGGTCTCAGATTTATGTATTTATTTTTAACAATAAATGCATATTTTTATGCAGACAGCACAACCAGCACTGAGGTAGCCACAGTTGCCAAAAAATATGAACTTGCCCATTAGTTCAAAAAATGAAGCAATGTGTTCTGTTTTAAATCAGTATAAGATGATCTGTCTTTCTGAGTTATCTTGAGTACAACCTTTGTCCTTGACAATCACTTTAAATATTAAATGTGAATCATAATATTTGCTTGAGACCAAGAAATCAGTTATGCTGAAGATGCATCACTTGGAACATGGTAATTATCATGCCAACAGGAACAACAAATAGGCCAGACCCTCATAGGCCTCCTTTATGTTATTTGATAAGTGGCAGTCCTAACCGGCACTGACACATCGATGACATCACTTTTACATGGATTGGTAATGCTGCTTTGACTCCCTCTACCTTGTTAACCTTGCTTTGGTAGCTCTGCGTAAATGTGCTTCATTACATTCAATAATGTTTTATTCATTTTCACTTTTTGCAGTCAAGTTCAAAATATAGATGAAGCAATTCTAGAAGAAGACAATTTAATACTAAGCATTAGCTCTTAAACAAGGGCTGTGATGGTTTTCTCTGGGCTACAATAGTAGCCCCTTTCTTCTTGAAAGGGAGCCCCAAATTTACTGTGTCTTTAACAAGAGGTTGTGAAGCAACTCTGGTGCTCTAGCTGTGAAATAACTATAATTTCCCAACATGCTAAAAGCCAGACAGTAGCACAGAGTCTACAAGGGAACAGGGGGCTGTTCTGAGGATGAAATGAGAGACTTGCCCAGTCCCTGCTAAACATTTTCCCAATTTCAATAAGTAAAAATTGCAGTAACATAAAACATTTTGCTCCTAAAAACTGTGACCATTTGCAGCCTCTGGCTCAACAATTTCCTCACTGATTTTAAAAGGCCACTTCCACAAAATAGGGAGAAACATCATATTTTAATTCACTAAGAGGAGCAGTCCAAGCAAAACTTCATTTTTCCAGAGATGCTTTCACAGCAGAATCCTCAGCAGGCTTTTGGATGCTGATCAGCACAGTCTGTGTCATCCTTGTTGCTAGGCAACACTGAAGCTAAATAGATGTTGGCATGATTCAAAAGAAACATCTTATAATCTACTAACACCATCGTCACAAAAGAGATGACAAAGGGAACGCATTGATAGCAATCGCTTGAGACTTCATTAAAAACACTAAAGGTCATTCAGCCTCTTTCTGGCGTTGTGGCAAGTCGTCTGCCACCAGCAACCAGCAGAAAGGAAAATAAAATAAGAAAAAAATAAAATAAAATAAAATGTTTGATGAAATACTCAGCATTTAGGAGTTGAAAGGATCAATAGAGCATATAACTAACTATACTTAGTAAAAAATAAATAAAAATCTTTAATATTTCTGGTTAAGTCTTGTTTACAGTCTACAAGTAACACTTCTCAAGGTTGAAGGTAAAGCGATATTTAACAGTTACTCTCTAGGTCATCCAGTCCACTGAGTCCTCTCATCTGGTCTCTTTTCTTCAGCTGCGCCATAAGGTTTCAGAACAAGTTAGATCTGAAAACTTAAGGTGAAGGATCAAAGTTGATTTTGGGTCAGGTGAACCATTTCTATCTTGAATTGTTTTTAGGTTTGGATTAGCATCCTGCTGACAGATCTGGTGTTGACCCAGTTTACTTGTACATTCACAAAGATTTTTCTTCAAAATGTTTTGGGATTTTAAACTGTTCATGATGCTATAGAGACTAAAAAGGAACTGGCCCACAATATAACAGATCCTCCAACCTACATTAAAAAAAATGGCATGAAGTGCTTTAATAATTGGTCATTTTATTATGGGCCTATCTGAAATGTTTACTCCACAAAAAGCAGGCAGCACTGCGAGGATTATGTTCTTCGATTTCTCCATAGCTTCTAAAACAATTCAGTCTGATTTGCTTTGTCAAATACTCCAGAAGACACAAGTGAAGGCCTCAACAATCACCTGAATTAATGATCACATGACAAACAGACCAGCTTGTGAAACAGAAAGGTCATGTGTCTAACCAGGCGGTCAGCAGCACGAGAACTCTGTTCTCTTCAGATCTCCAGTGCAAAACAGACAGGAGTCTGTCCACATTTTCAATATTTCTGTCATCAACAGAAATATTTTGATGACTCTGAAGTCATCTTATCTTGAATGTGAACAGAGCAGGCCTCACTTCTTAAATTCCTCAACATTTGCAGCAAGAGACTCGGTTTCTTCTTTTGGTCTGTTGTGGAGAGTGAACCGTCATCTGCCGTCGTCTGTTAAGGTTTCAGCATCAAAGTCAGGGACTTGAAAGGCTCAACAACTTGATTACAAAGACTGGTTCTGTTTTGGGCACTACTGAGGAACCACTGGAGATGAGGGTACAAAGAAGGATTCTTTAAAATAAATTATGGATAACCTTGAGTATCCTTCTCATGACAACAAAGTGTCTTCAATTAGAGGCTTCTTCAGATTGGATGTAATACAGACCACTACTAGATCCGTCCTGCCCACATCAATCAGCATCTGCCATGGCTCTTTAAATAAATATATTAGATGAGTTACAGCAACATTTAACTTCCCTATTGAATTAAGAACGTGTCTTTAAATTGAATTGTGTTCTTATCCAATCAATGCAGAGAGCTCTCAAAAAAGTCTGAGAAGATTTTAGCAAAGTCCACATTTATATTTATGATTGTGGGACAGAAAAGACATTTTTGTAGCATCACTCCCCAACAACCCAAATTAAATTTTTGTACCTGCCTTACCATGCAATCTCAGTATCTATTTCAGTAACATTTATTTATTTACTGAATATCTGTGATAGTGAGAAGTAAGTTGGAGAAGAAAATAAGGGGACTCTGAAGATGTTTTGCTAAATTTTAGGGCAGCTTTTAATGTAAATTGTGCGAGGATGACCTTGAGTATTATTGTAAGACTATGATCTAACAGAAGTGAAAGAGGCCAGGCGATCAAGGGAGACAATGATGGACGATGTTGTGATTTAACATGTAGAAGATTTAATAGAGTACTCCTGCATTGTCTGAGAGGGCCAGGTAACATTCAACATGTTGTCTGGCATATAACATGATTTTTTTTTTATTTTTTTTTTTTATTCAGGCCACAAGATTGCTTACT